CCACTGCCAGCAAATCAATACCATGTCACGTTTGGATCTGCTGTTCCACCAGATGTTTCACAGCGCGCTGTACTGGCCCCCTCAGCTGCGGGACGCACTTGCCGAGACAGGAAAAAGGTTAGTGTCGAGGGCTCTGGATGAAGAGCGCGCTGGCACATCGAGCCCCCCTTAAGGTCTAATGGGCTTAAGAATTGGGGCCGCGAACAACGACGAGAGTGTTGAGCACATCTTGGGTCTGTCTGGGCGCCTCTTGGGGCCCTCTTGGGACGCTCTTGGGAGCCTCGTGAGCGCTTTTGGGCCACCTTGTAGGAGATCCATCAGGTCTGGATCGAGGTCTTAGGTTTTGAGTGCCTTGGAGTCTTCGGGGCCTAGGGCCCCAAAGTCCCAGGATCTTGGGGTCTGGGAGTTTCGGGGCCTTGTGGTCTCAGGGCCAGGGGGTCATAAATGGGTCCCACGGTCATAGGGTTCTAGGGATCGCGCGTGGGGCCTTAGGATCCTAGATGGCGCCGTGGTTATGTGCTGGAAATCTGCGGGTTTGAGGGGCTCAGGGCCGCAGGGTCTTAGAGCCTGAGGGTCTCAGGTTCTGAAGGCCTAAGGGTCTCTGGGCCATGGGATCATTCGGCTCGCCTGTTCCTTGGCCGTGGGATCCTAGGGCGCGATGGCCATGTCCCAGGGTCTCAGGGTTTCGGGGCCCACGTATGGCCCCAGGGTATTGTAATCCTAGGGCATCAAGGTCTATGTGGGTCTTTGGTCCTATAGGGTCTCAGAGCCAAAAACGGTATTCTGATATTCGATGTGTCAATTGAATATTTGAGCGTACATGGCGATAAGGTCTGAGTCCTGCGAACGTATGATATAGGGCTCGCGTGCTCTATGGCCCTGGGGGTGCGTTTGTCTTTTGCCTGGGGTTGTGGGGGGCTCTGGCCATTCGGATCGTAGGGATTAGCCCAACTCCATCCGCGAGAAGCACGGGATCGACGCAGAAAGCTTTCACACGAACGCCAGCTGAACTGCCCAACAAGCTTGCCTGAACGTTGTCAGTGCGTATACTGTTATGATGACCCGCCGAAATGGAAACTCCCGAAACCATCCGAAACCTCGAAGAACTCTTGGAAACCCCAAAGAACTCAAGTGAAAAAAGCCCATGTGAGGCACCTTCCACGCGGAAGGTATGGAAGGTGGAGAGTCAGGGTAAAGGGAGGTTTGTCCACCGCCGATGAAAAACTCGGGACGAAGAGCTGCACGAGGGCGGGTTCAGATCCAGGGGCTTAGGGCCCGTCGCTCGGGGTGACCCAAAAAAAAGGCGACGCGGGGGTGGTGCGATAGTTGTGGTGCAATGGAATTGCGGGTTGCAGTGCCTTTGGCGCGCGCAACACATCCCGGGACGCGAATGTATTGCCGGATTCTCGCGTGCAAGCCATTGCATGCAGCGCAATGCGATACAGTTTTCCAGCGCAGTACATGTGCAATACAGTTGCCCGAAATTTGTTGCACCACCCCCTTTCAGCTGGACCCCCTTGTGGGTCACCCGAAGTTGCCTTCAGGACCGGAGTGTTCTATGCCAGCGCGCGGGCGCAAGACACCGGGGAAGGGCGCATCGTTCCGGCACCTCTCCGGGCCGTGGTGGCAGCCTGCAGGTCCCTGGACCCTTGTGCTCCAGCCGCCCTCGGTCGCCCCCCCCTTGTTCCCACCCCCCGCCCACGCTCGCCTCGAAGGAGGCTCGTCGTCGTCGGTGTCGTCGCCGAAGTATTTCCCCTTTGCCACCCTTTTGGAGTTCATGCGAATTTCGCTTCCCTGCCCCCCCCCTCATGCTCCCCCCCCCTCTCGGGTGGCACGTGACGAGTAGAACGGGTCCTACGTAGACCCCAGTGATTCGCCCAAGCCTGGATGTTCGTTTGCAGTCGCTTTGTGACGGCCCCGGGGTCCCGAAGTTGGCAAAACACATCCAGGACCCTTCTGCCTCCAGGACCAGTCCAGTTCACGCCTCAGTGGCCTGCTGCTTCTGATGGCGAGCAGCCGTGCGAAAGCAGCGCATAGCGGCCCTTCTCGCGAACGTCCGAGCTCACGGGTCCTCTCGCTCGCTGCGGGGGCGGTGCTCCGCAGCTCCGCGGCCGAGGCCCCCTCGGCCACGGAGCGCACCGTCTCTTCGAGCGCTCTTGGAGAGGAGGAGGAGGAGGAGGAGGAGGAGGAGGAGGCGGAGGAGGCGGAGGCGGAGGAGGAGGAGGAGGAGGAGGAGGGCTGATGCCACGAGGCTGGAATCATCGCCGTGATGCAGAGGTGCGACGACGAGCGACTCATCGGGCTCCGCGGGGGGCTCCGGTTCTCGGGCCGCTCGTGAGGTCGGGGAGCCGCCTCGTGATCGGGGCTCGCCGCACGAGCGCGGGAGGCTGGAAGCATCGCCGTGGAGCAGAGGTGCGGTGATGGGCACTGTCGGGCTCCGCGGGGGGGCTCTGGCTTTTTTTGGGGGCTGCCCGTTAGGTCGGGGGGGCCGGGTCGTGGTCGAGGCTCGCCGTGACCGGAAGCGCCAATCCATGGCTTCATTTGGCGCCTCTCGTGGTACGACTGCCCTCGTCGACCTCGGCCTCAAAAAAGCGCGCTCCCCAGCTTGCCCTTGTGCCATCGTAGTAGCTCCCTCGAAGATTGCCCACGCTGAGGTGTTCTTACTTCTCTTTCTTCAGCCATCGCTCGGGTATTCTGGGCTGTCGCCGCGGTGCCGCCCGTGGGCGCCTCGTGGGCGCCTCGTGGGCGCTTCGTGGGCGCCCCGCCCGTGGGGCCGCTGCCGAGGTCGCGCCGCGCTGCCGCCCGTGGGCGCCCCGTGGGCGCCCCGCGCTTGGGGGGGGTAAGCCGCCTAGGTTGCGCCGCGTTGCCGCCTCGTGGGCGCCTCGCGGGCGCCCCGCGCTCGGGGGGGGTCAAGCCGAGGTTGCGCCGCGCTGCCGCCTCGTGGGCGCGCCGTGGGCGCGCCGTGGGCGGGGTGGGGTTTCCCGAGGTCGCGCCGCGGTGCCGCCCCCGTGGGCGCCTCGTGGGCGCTCCCTGTTCGGAGCTCACACGGCGTAGCTTCCACCACAGAGTTCACACGCATCGCTTGCACTGCACATTGTTCAGTCGGGGTGTTGATCTAAGGAACGATAAATAAGGAACGGGGCCCCTTTTCTCCATAAGTGAAACTTCGATTTCCCATCGAGAACATAAGGAAAACCTGAGACAAGCTGTGAAACACTTAAGGAACACCGAGCCCCTCCCCAGCGGAAAGGGTTGGTTCTTCAGAGCCCCGGCTGTACCATGTAGCTTTCGCCCCACAGCTTGCACCTCCAGTTCAAACCCGCTAGCTTACACGAAATAGCTCAAACCACATAGCCTACACTGTATAGTTTTGCCTCCATAGCTCACGCCACATGGCCTAAACCGCATAGCTTTCGCCACATAGCTTACACCGCATTGCTTCCGTCGCAACAGTGCAATGACGCACTAACATGTGATGTTTAGGTTATGGTTGACATTGCGTGCGAATTGTTTGTTGGTGCCCCATCTCCAGTGTCGGCCATCGTAAAATTTCCGAATCGCGCTGGCCCAGACCGCGTTACGCCCACTCCTCGCCGATAGGTGCCTGATGCGTGCCAACCCCGCCCAGGACCGTGCGGACGTGCGATCGAGAGCCTGTCGCCGATCTGTCGGCGGTGTATCGCCGATTCCAGGTCGCTGTTTTACCCCCTGTTCCCCCTGAGTTTGGGCGGGATGAATTTACCCGATCCCCAGGACGCCCCTCTCCTCCCGACCCGCTCTCGAGGCGCGCTCCTGCCTTGCCCGGACCGCGCCCGCGCGGTCCCCGGGCCACGGGGTGGCTCGTGGCCGCGAGGCTCTCCTCGGCCACGAGGCCATGCGTCCTGCCCACGCTGCTCCAGACACCTCCCTCCTCCTCCCTCCTCCCTCCCTCCTCCTCCCTCCTCCCTCCCTCCTTCTCCCTCCTCCCTCCCTCCTCTTCCCTCCTCCCTCCTCCCTCTGAAGTGGCGTCGGCCCCCAGAGCCCGCTATGCAGCAAACGGGTCCTGCGCGAGGGAAGCAGGGCGACCGAGGACGGGAAGCCCGTCCGGGGCACGGCCCCGAGGGCTCCAGGAGCCGCGGCCCCCGGGGCCCCCCGTGCGCCGGACCTGGGGAGGGCGTCTCGGCCACGGGCGGCCTGCTGCCAGCCGGCCCCCGCGGGCCCACAGGTCCGCCAGACGTCTGGCCGCGCCAGGTCATCTTCGGCCCGCCGGATGAGGGGGGAGACCGCCTGCCCTTCCACCCACCCCCAGCGCCTCCCAGGACCACGGCGCGGCGAAGGGGGAGGGAGAGGAGGACCAAGAGAAGGGGAGGAGGGAGGTGAGAAGGGAGAGGCCGAAGGCAGCCGCGGTGACGGCGGCGACAGCGACGACGACGCGAGAAAGGGGGCGGAGGAGGAAGAGGAGGAGGAGGAGGAGGAGGAGGAGGAAGGCGAGGAGCAGGAGGAAGATGAGGAGGAAGAAGATGATGATGATGATGATGATGATGATGATGATGATGATGATGATGATGATGATGAATGATGAATGATGATGATGATGATGATGATGATGATGATGATGATGATGATGATGATGATGATGATGATGATGATATGATGATGATGATGATGATGATGATTATGATGATGATGATGAGGATGAGGATGAGATGAGGAGAGGAGGAGGAGGAGGAGGAGGAGGAGGAGGAGGAGGAGGAGGGAGGAGGAGGAGGAGGAGAGGAAGGAGGAGGAGGGAGGAGGATGGAGGGAGGAGGAGGAGGGAGGAGGAGAGAGGAGGAGGAGGAGGAGGAGGAGGGAGGAGGAGGAGGAGGAGGAGGAGGGAGGAGGCGGAGGAGGAGGAGGAGAGGAGGAGGAGGAGGAGCAGAGGAGCAGGAGGAGGAGGAGGAGGATGAGGAGGAGGAGGAGGAGGGCCGCTCTCCCCGTCTTGCTGCCTCCGTGCCGCGCCCCCGCGCGCGGGGAGGCCCCGCCGCCCCCCGCCGTCCCCGCGGGCAGCGGCATCGCGGCCGTTCGGGCCGCCGCCGCGGGCGGCGCCGCCCAGGACCTCCCCTGCGGGGCCAGCCTGCCCGCTTCGGGCGGCGGTCTTCGTCCTCCTCCTCCTCCTCCTCCTCCTCCTCCTCCTCCTCCTCCTCCTCTTCTCAGAAGGCCAGGGGGCTTCCACGAGGTGTGCCGCTGGGTGCCCTCGTGGCGTCCCAGGAAAACAGGCGGGTTGGCAGCTCGATCGTCACCACAGCTCGACGGGGCTTTGGGAGAGACTCTTGGCCTGCTGTTGGCCAGCCACAGTAGGTGCGGGCCCGCCGTACCACCCCTGAGAGGCCCGATGGGGTTACTCGAAGGGGTCCCCCGACGTGGGGGGCGCGGGAACTAAGTCCTTGGACAGCGGGGCCTCCGCTGCTTGAGGCCAGCGGCCAAGTGGGGGTGGTGCTGGTGGCCGTGTCTCGGGGTGGCATCTCGAGGCACCTCGCAACGGCGGCGCGGATAACGCCTGGGGCGGGTCCGTGCCGCCGTTCGTGTTGCGAGGTCCGACTGCATGTGATTTCATGCGGGCTCCTTGGGCACCTCCCTTCGGGTTGTGTCGCCCCGGTGTTCTGTCTGGGCCAAAGCTTCCGAGAGGTCCCGCCGCCCTCCGAGGCAGAGGAGAGGGGGTGGATTCGTGGGGGGGGAAGGGGGGGGAGGATGCTCGAGGCGAGCCGAAGTGGGCCGGAGGAGACGGGGGAGGTGAGGGAGGAGCAGAAGCGGGAGGAGGAGGAGGGGGAGGAGGAGGAGGACGAGGAGGACGAGGAGGAGGAGCGGGCGGCTCTCGAGGAAGAGGGCCAGGATGATGATGATGATGATGATGATGATGATGATATGATGATGATGATGATGATGATGATGATGATGATATGCTGATGCTGATGCTGATGCTGATGCTGATGCTGAATGATGATGATGCATGATGATGATCATGATCATGATGATGAGGATGATGATGATGATGATGGATGATGGAGGAGAGGAGAGGAGGAGGAGGAAAGATTAGAGGAAAATGATGATGATGATGATGATGATGATGATGATGATGAGGATGAGGATGAGGATGAGGATGAGGATGAGGATGAGGATGAGGATGAGGATGAGGATGATGATGAGGATCAGGATGAGGATGAGGATGAGGATGAGGATGAGGATGAGGATGAGGATGAGGATGAGGGCGAGGATGAGGATGAGGATGAGGATGAGGATGAGGATGAGGATGAGGATGAGGATGAGGATGAGGATGAGGATGAGGATGAGGATGAGGACGAGGACGAGGAGGAGGAGGAGGAGGAGGAGGAGGAGGAGGATGAGGATGAGGACGAGGACGAGGAGGAGGAGGAGGAGGAAGAGGAGGAGGAGGAGGAGGAGTAACCGGAGGCGGAGAAGGAGGACGAGGAGGAATCGGAGGCGGAAGTGGAGGAGGAAGAGGAGGGGGAGGCGGAGGCGGAGGCGGAGGGGGAGGCGGAGGAGGAGGAGGAGGAGGAGGAGGACCAGTGTAAACCCAAGATGCATCAACGATGTTGCAGAAGACCCTCCAAGTTTTTTCTTCAGATGGCCATTTGGAATAAGTTGTTGTTCGTTGCGGGAAGTGGCCAATGAGAAGACAATCGCCTGAGAATCTTCAACCGCGGTGAAGCACCGTTCTTGCGACTTCGACGTCGTGGATCAACGCATTGTTGCGTCCTCGCAGTCTTAAATTGTGCCAGATCGCGCGACAATAAGAGCCCTTGACACAATCCCTCCTGCCCCCGCTTTCGCTCCTGCCTCCTATTGTTTCTCCTCCTCCTCGTCCCTTCCCCATTCCTCTTCGGTCTTCCCCGACCGTCTTTCTCGTACTCCTCCTTTTCTCCTCTTCCTCTTCCTCAATCCTCCGCCTGTCTCCCTCCTCTATCTCGTCCACCTAATCGATCTCGTCCACCGTGGTCCACTTAGACGAGGTGGGCTGAGGAGGAAGAGGAGGACAGGAAAATGACAATGAGGAGAGGAGGAAAGGGAGGAGAGCCTCCTCCTCCCCCTCCTTAGTATTATCCTCCTCATCCTCCTCCTCTGCCTCCTCCTGCCGGTCCTAAAGCAATCGCTTGTAGACGAAGCGACCATCTGCCCACAGAGGTGTCTGTGTGTCTTCTTTTCCTCCTCCTCCTCCTCCTCCTCCTCCTCCTCCTCCTCCTCCTCCTCCTCCTCTCTCCTGGGAGGGCGTCCGGTCGAGACTCCATCCCCATCTCCCTCGGCCGAAGGACGTTGCCGCCGCCGCCGCCGCGTCGGGCAGTGCCGCCGCAGCAGGCGGCCCGGCGGTGGGGCTCTGCGAGCATGCTGCTGCGGGGGCGGGAAGTCGGGAGGGCGAGGGACGAGGAGGAGCATCACAAAGGAGGGCGTGGGGGAGGGGGGAGAAGGGGGAGGGGAGGATGGGGAAGGAGGATGATCCAGGATCGAGGACCGAGGCTCGCGGAGGAGGTGGAGGAGGCCCGAGGTTCGACTCGTGGCGATCTCGCCTTGTCCTGGTGTTGCCAGCGGAGTACCTGGCCCAAGGGTGTCCCCAGCTCCGTCGCGGCCCTGGCCCACCTCCCCGCCTCTGGCTCGCTCCGCTCGGGGCGGTTTGTTTCGAAGGCCCTCCGTCGTTTTTCTAGTGCTTTCGCTGCGCTCAAGGCGGTTTGTTTCGAAGGTCCTCCGTCGTTTTTTTCTGCCGTGTTCGGGGCCCGAGGAGGTTTCCATCAGGTGCGCCTCGTCGACAGCGTGCTGGGGATACCCGAGTCGTCCTGGACGGTCGCGTCTGGCCGAGTTATTGTTGAACACTTCCTCGACGCCACTGCGATCAGGGTTCGTTTTGATCCGATCGATCCAATGCGATATCGATCCCGTCCAGCTCGGTACGATTTGATTCCGATATTCCAACCATCCGATCCGACCCGATGCCTGCGCGGCGTTGTGGTGCATGGTGGCTCGGATGATCCGACTCGGTTCCGACTCCGCACCGATACGGCCCGATCCGACGCAGGTTCCGATTCTATTCGCTTTCCCGATTCGATGGTGACTGATCCTGCCCTGAGGTCCTGGGCCCTGCGAGGGGTGCTCTGGAGGCCGTGCGGGGCTCCCTGGAAATTCTGGGTGCACTCTGGGCCAGGTGTACATCTGGGGAAGGAGAGGCCGCCACGAGTCAGACCTCGAGCCTCCTCCCCCTCCCCTTCTGCCTCAGTTCTCGGTCCTCGATCTTCATCTTTCCCCCATTATGTTCCCTTCCTTATAATCATCATTATCATCATCATCAGCAGCAGCAGCATCAGCATCAGCCTCATCCTCATCCTCATCCTCATCATCATCACCACCATCACCATCGCCATCGGCATCACCATCACCGTAATCAGCATCACCATCATCATCACCACTGTCATCACCATCACCATCACCATCATCATCATCATCATCATCATCACCATCATCATCATCATCATCATCATCATAATCATCATCATCATCATCATCATCATCATCATCATTGTTAGACACTCCTCCTCAATCGTCGATCCTCATCCTCCTTAATCCTAGATCTCCTCCTCCCGTCGCGCGCGGTGCGGGGAGGCTGGGAGTTAGAATGATGGGAGTGAGGAGGAAGTGCTTTGCTTTTGAGGATCGAGGCTCCGGGAGATGAGGGGTCGATGAGTGAAGTTCAATGAGGAGAGGTTGAGAGGAGCAGGAGGAGGAGGATGAGGGAGTAGTTCCGAGGTTCGAGGAGGAGGAGGAGGGTTCGAGGGTTGAGGTTGATCAGAAGAGCACCCCGCGCCGAAGTCCCGACGAGTGCCCAGTCTCCTCCGCCCAGCTGGAGCCCTGACATCCGACCCCTCGCCTCTCACATCCGACCTTAGGTTTTCGTTCGTGACATGTGCCCTCAGACCCGTTGCTTCTCGTCCCGAGTCGTTCTTTGTCGGTCTTGGTGCCCAGTCATGGCTTCCCGAGGCTAAAATTGGCCAAAATAAGTCCGTCGAGTTTGTCGTCGGCGCGAGCGGGTTGTGGCTCGTCTGGCCGCCTCAAAATGAATCCCCAGGCCTGCTTGGGAGGAAGAGCCTAGTTCAAATACGCCCTCCCCCTCCCTTCATCCACTTGTGCGCGCCGCCACCAGGAGCTTGCGCGATCCAAACGGTGGGAAAACGCTTTCGGTTTTCTTCGATGGGGTGTTGGCTCTCCGGGTCCTTGCCCTGATCTCACATCAGGAGCTGGATTAGGGGACAATGGCCAGCCCCTCCACTTCTCTTCACGACATCCTTCCAGTCCTGCAGTGGAAAGCCTGCGGCGGCGAGCGAGGGGGGGAAGTGAGAAGGAGAAGGCCTTCTCAGAAGTTTCGGAAGTCCCCTGGCCTTCTGAGAAGTTTCCTAAGCCTTCCCCGAAAACAGAAAACACTTCTCCGAAGGCGCGAGGGCTTCTGAGAAGTCCCGCCGCCTTGTGAGAAGGCCTGAAGGCCTTCTGCTTCTCACTTCCCCCCTCGCTCGCCGCCGATATCCGAAAAGAGGACCGCTTTGCTCTCACATCGCTCCCTGGGTGCAGGTCGGGGGACCTGTCTCGTGGCCGAGGCTCGGCGTGGTCGGAAAACCCATTCAGTTCTTGGCCGGCGCTCCTGGTTCCCCAGTCGACTTATATGTGTGCACCGTGCCGCGCTGGCGCCTCCCGATCACGCGATCGCAAACCTGGATCGCGTGGATTAGCGACGGGGCACGCATCAGGCGATTGCAAACATGGATTGGGCCCCCCTCCTCCTCCTCCTCCTCCTCCTCCTCCTCCTCCTCCTCCTCCTCCTCCTCCTCCTCCTCCTCCTCCTCCTCCTCCTCCTCCTCCTCCTCCTCCTCCTCCATGGCAGCGCGGTCTGGGAGCGCCCGAGGGGGATGGTTGCGGGGGGGAGATACCATTGCCGGACCCACGCAGTCTCGCCGATTTCGTGGCCCCCTCTTATTTCAGGCGATCGCAGACCTGGATCAGGGGGGCGTGGATTAGCGGCGGGACCCGTTTCCACGAGAGATCGCGGATTTCCGCCGCCGAAGAAGGCGGCACCGGCCGCATCTTGGGGAGGGCACCTCCCCCGATTCCTGGATTTGGCGACCGCGCGCCCATTCCACGGGTGGCTAATCCATGTTTTGCGCGCCCCCAGCCCGAGGCGTGGTCGATCCTCGTACTGGGAGGGGTGGGGTGCATAGTTTCTGTTGGCCCTCGGAGCCGAAGAGCCATGCACCGTACCGAGCTGGAGCGGAGCCGCGAGAGAGGTCAGACGTGGTACGCTGCTCAGGGCCAGGCTATTGATTCTCTCGCGATAGCGGCCGTTTCCCAGGGGGGGAAGGGGAAGGGGCCGTTAACGTTCCGATTCACGCCAGCGCCGTTTGGGAATCAGTTCTCCCTGGCCATTTCCAGACGGCGCTGGCGCGAGCCGTGACGCTACCAGGTGTGGGCGGGGGAAGGGGGAGCATCGTGAAAACCACGCTCGTGGGCGCCGCTCTCGTCCTGCTGGCGCCGTGGCTGCTGCCTGTCCGCGGCGCCCCGTGCCCGCGGCCGCAGGCGAAGCCGCGGCGGAGAGGAGCAGCAGCCGGCGGCCCACAGAGGCGGGCCCCCGCCGCTTTCAGAGGAGCAGTGGGGTTGAGTCGGGCATGTCCTTCTACAGGAGGAATACGTAGTCCCAAATAGTCAAAGAGTAGTCTGGGGACGATGTTTGGCTATTGTTTATGGTGAATGTGTTCGAGCACATTTGTTGGCTGTGTTTTATCCTTCTTCCAAAGTCCTCCCCGTGGGAGGACATGCCCGACCTAACAGTAGGGGCCGTCGTGGTGCCGGTGGTCCCCAGGGCGTGTGTTGGCCCAGTGCGGGCTGCACTCGTGCCGCTAGTGGAGGCTCATGCCTGCAGCTCTGCGTTGAGCTGCTGCGCCGTGTTTCCCCCCCCTCCCTCCCTCCCCCCCTCCCTCCTCCGCCTCCTCTTCCTTCGCCTCCTCCTCCTGCTCCTCTTCCTCCCTCCTCCTCCTCTTCCATCTCCTCTTCCTCCTCCTCTTCCACCCTCCTCCTCCTCCTCCTCCTCCTCCTCCTCTTCCTCCTCGTCCTCCTCGTCCTCTTTCTCCTCCTCCTTCTCGTCCTCCTCATTCTCCTCCTCCTCCTTCTCCTCCTCCTCCTCCTCCTCCTCCTCCTCCTCTTCCTCCCTCCTCCTCCTCTTCTCAAGCAACTCGGACTCGAGCATTATGCCGAGCCCCCGTCCTATGCCTCCACAGGGTGCTCGGGGGACCACACTTCCGCGCACCAGCCGTGCGCTTCTGACCAGAGCAGGCGGCAATTCTCCTCCTTGTACCAGCGGCTGGGGGTGGGACTATTTCCAACATGTGGTCGCAGCGCAAAGGATGCGGAACATTTGCGCGGAACGATCGGCTCCTCATGAATCATTCGTGCGGGTACCGTTGCGCCAGGAAGGTCAAGCCCCATGTTCCGAAGTCGGGAAAAGGGCAGAGCGGCAACCAGCAGCACAGCAGTGACGCTAGCCCCAGCTCCGACGACAACGGGGCGCTCTTCATAAAGACCGAGGCCCAGGCGGGCAGCCCTGTCTTCACAGCTGCCGCAGGCCGAGCGCTCCAAGGTGGCAGCGTCGACCTCGATCGTAGTGCCTGCAAAAGGAAAGGCGGAGGCGGTCGAGAGATCATTCAGCTTGTCGAGCGGCGCCGGCCACAAGCACATCCGGGCGGTCGCAGCGCCGTCCACCTGCAGGGCAGCCCACCGATCGCGGTCGAGGTGGAGAAGGTCGCGGACCAGGCGCTCGCCGAGGCGAAGCACACAAAGAAGGCGGCCACGCGGGCTCTCGCGGAGGCGGAGGGTGTCGGCGGCATGGTCAATCCTTCTCAAGATGGGCCGCAACCGGGGTTCAGGCCGCCTGGGGCGAGGATCTGTTCTCGTGCTTGGATCAGCTCGAGTGCGAGTAGAAAAGGAGGAAGGAACTGCAGCACGTCTTAGAGGCTTTCGTGAAGGTCAGGAACGAGCTCCCGTGCAACGAGGTTATCATGTCCAGGATGCTGAGCCAGGCGGCGTCAGCCAGGAAGAGTGTCAACGATCGCCTGGTCAAGAAACGCAATGTGAAGGAGGATGGTGCTGCAGTCGCCGGAACTTACAGAAAGTGCGGCAGCCGCGGCGGCAGCAGCAAAAGCGGCGCCTGCAGTGGAGCGACGACAGCAGAGCAACGCATCTGCCCAGGAGGCGGAGGTTTTGTTGCAATCTCGCGGCGCAGAGGGCGGCGATGGAGGCCCAGTCGGCAGAGCAGGGCAAGCCCATGAGCAAAGGCAAGGGCGTGTCCAACCCCAAGGGCAAGGTTGCGAATGGCAAGGCTGATGCCGCCGCTGCCACCAAACATGATGAGCTGCGACTAGGTTCCGCTGGGGAGGAGCCCGAGGGTGTCGGCAGCGGTGCCGGCGCTGTCCGCGGCCCGTGCTTCGTCGCGGGCGTCGCGGCCATTGGACGAGTCGTCAGCTCTTGGCGCCCAAGAGTTACACGTACGATTACATTGGGGTATGTGCGGCTCACATCGGACAGTCTCATGCCAAATTGTGGCGGCCATGTTTCCCCCCCCAATCGTGTGAGGTCCAAGAGGAAGAACCTTCCTGCAGCAATGAAGAATCGCTTCACTGAGGGCCGGCGATTGCCGCATAATTATCCACAACGATGCGTCTTCGAGCTGCTGGACAACCACATCTTGATATATTCCAGCAAGTGGTAGTGCACATGAGAGGGCACAGTTTGGTTATGATAGTTTCGCGGCCGCCCGAGCATTGCCGTGCCGAGAATGTACCGCGCTCCCAGAAGCTTGGGGCCCATGCTCAATTCCTGTCAGTTGCCTTGGATTGTGGCTGGGGGGGTCAACGTTAAGGCGTCGCCCATGTTGCGTTCCAATCTCGTTTCCAAACTTCACGGAGACCCGTCCTTCCTGAAAGCCAACATCGCGCTCACATGCGATATTTCGACGGAGGGGTCCGTCACCGACAGCGCCATCTGCAGCGCAGCCGCTTCCCCTCGCGCCAGCGGTGACGCACGGGGAGGGCCGCGAGTTCTTTGGGAAACAGTTGTTGGCATTCAGGTTCAGCTTCGCTCATCGGGCGCCCGACTGCCCGCGCGATGACTGCAGGCACTTCGCCCGTTGCCCCGGCCCGCGCTACCTGGGCCTTTTGCCGCCGGAGGGGTCGCAGCCCAGCCGCGCGCGCGAGGGGCGGCGCGATTAAAATGGGCGCGCGTCGTCTCACCAGGGGGGGCCGCTTCTGATGCGATTTGGGTGGCGAATTCAAAGCTGAGGGCGTCGAGTGCGACGCCGCTGGCGTTGGGGGCTCCGAAGGGCTCGGCGCGGACCTTTGGGGCGCGGCCCCCGCGGGGGCCGCGAGGGCCGCCGTCTCGGCGCTTTCGGGATCGAGGAAGACGAGTCGGCGGGGCCAGCGGGGCCAGCGGGTGGGCCCGCTGGAAGTCGGCGTGCTTTTGGCGACAGGGGCGAGGCGGTTAATTCGGAGTTGGGCATCTGGCGCTGCGTCTGGCTGCCGCGTCCTCTCGGGAAAAACCAAGCCGAATGAAGCCGGCCTCGACTAGCCCTCATTTGGGTTTTCATCCGCCCCAAGCCCCGCAGGTTAGCGGCGCAGAGGGCGCGAGTCTCGGGGCGAATCTGGGCCCCGAAGGCGTCGAGTTCTAGGTTTGCTTGGCCGCCGGGGCCAGGCGTCGCGCCAGCCAGCGGGCCTTCCCCGCGCACTTTTCATTTCCCCACGGATTAGTAACCAGCAGTCGGCGCGCGCTTGGTCCGCGCGCGCGCCGCGGGGGCGACGCGTCGAAACCTCATTGCGCGAGCATCGCGGCATCCAGGATCTCTCTGGAGTCAGTCGTTGCGTTGGTGCCACTTCAATGTTTCGCGAGTGCGGGTCCGAGTCGCGATGCGGCGGCGACTTGTCGGCCGAGGGTGCGCTTCCGCGCGGGCTAATTAGGCCGGCGTCGCGTTCGGGCCGGCGGCGAACGGCGGCGCGGGCATCTTCTGGGCGGATTCGGCTTGACGGTAGAATGCCCCGTTGGTGGCGCGCTGGTTTCAGGGGGCCACGTCGGCTGGCAACGAAGAGATCGACCGCGACGCACGCCGCCAATGCTGAGAAGGCAGCGGGGTGATGTCAACGGAATTCATCATCGGCCATTCCATTGCGTGAGTTCGGTGCCTGAGCGGTGGAGACAGCGCCCGCGCCGGCCGAACTCCGCATATTCATCGTGGACGAGACCGCTGTTCAGTTTTAGGTTCAAGCCGAGGATCGCGCATTTGCGCGCCCGAAGGATATTGAGGTCAAGGGTGGGAAGTGGGCGAATCAGCGCTCGCTTGGCCCCCGCGAGGGCGCAGCTGGAAATTTCGCCAGCCATCGCGGGCGAGCGGGCCCGCCAGGCAGCGTGTTCCGTGAGGGCCAGAACGGGTCAAGGCGCCGATCAGATCAACACAGTGGGTTCTGAATCCCAGCCCCAATTCCGAACCAATTGTCGGAGTCATGCGCGTTGATCGATAGAGGAGGCTGCGCGGCCCTGCCAGGTCGTGACCGCGCTGGGGCGGCTGCTTCCGCGGAGGACGGAGGCGACCAGGTCATCGGGTTGCTGGCCATGTTCGCGCGTGCGCGGTCGCTTGTTCGCAAGCCCGTCGCGGCCGAGTGGGGCGACCGCTCTGCAGCGCGCTGGGGCGCGGCAGCGCGCGGCAACATTGCCCTCGCAGAGGCGCTCGTCAGAGCGCTGCAGTGAGGGGTCGGACATTCGCTGCGCATATATAGCAGGCATAACACTTGGCCGCCCCAAGGGGGAGCCAACAGTGGTGTAGTATGGGGCCATTCGCTTCCAGATTGGGGTGGCGACTCAAACGGTTCGCCCGTTTCGGCGCCTCGGACGCATCCTTTTGAGAGCCCCATGATCATTGTCACGCAGCAGGCATGGTATTTGGACACCCCCAAGGGGGGCCGCCAGAGGGTGCGTCACGGGCCTGTTTGCGTCCAGTTTGTGGGGGCGTCTCAGACGATTCGTTTGTATCGGCGCTTCGGAGCCATCTCTTATACACGGGGGGTACTATAGTTTTGACCATAAGACGTCATGCTGTCGACGCCCCCTGCCCCCCCGTAGAATCTTAGCGACATGTTTTGGGTCGGGCGGCGGTTCGACTCCGATGGGCTCTCACCCTGTAAGAATATATTAATATATATTTTAAACAGGGTGATAATTACTCCGTCCCATTTACAAGATGGCCGGAAAACACTCCGACTTGAACCCATTCACAGTAAACCACTCCGCTTGGGTCACGTTTGATCGTCCGTGTCATCATCCCCATCGACCCTGTCCTTATCATGCCAACGCGATGTTTCATTGTATTCCTTGTTGCATTGATGCTGTGAGACCCTGGGCATCCTTCTCCAATGCGGTCGCTCTCGGTTCACTGGTTGGCCGTCCCAGAGGGCCCACAAAGGCTCGCGAATCCGCATCAAGGCACCTTTGCATCCTGATCGGTCCTCCGCGGCACGCGTGACCAGCGAGGCCATTCTCATCTTATGGTCAAAAACTTTAGTACCCCCGAAGTAAGAGTACCATGGTCACCGCGCTGTAGCCGGGATGGTCTAAGATTTGTTGCGCGCGCCAGTTTGCGACCAGATCGTGGGGCCTCTCCCGGGGAAGCGCCGGCCCAGGCGCCCCCGACCCCTCCCGCTCCAGAGCCCCAAGGCCACCCCGACGCAGCAGTCGGGGGGCCGCCATGGAGCGCTCAGTCGCCGCGGGCAAGGATCCACTCAGGCACTCGAAGACGGGGGCGCCAGGAAATAAAATGCCGGGCCCTGGCGAGGGCCCCCGCGAGGCCCAAGGTTGCCGCCGCCGACCGTCGCGACGTTCGACCGGGGGGGGGGGTCTGGGATCGGGGCGGCGCCGGGATCCTCTCCGGGGCGCCCCCTGCCGGACTGCTGCGCCCCCCCGCTGGTGCCGCCCGCGGGAGGTTGCCAAACGTGTTCCCCTCCCACAGGCACCCCCAGTCTGCCGCCCCGTCGAGGGGCCCCCGCAGGGCCCTCTGGGCCCCGCGGCGGGCGGGCGGGCCCCGGAGTCGATTGCGGTGAGTCTTCGCGGAATAACTCCCGAGAAGACATGGGGCAAGGGAGACGAGCGCGGCGGCGGCTGGAGTAAGAAGCGACCGAGGTCGTCGCGAGCCGCGGCGACACCTGCGCGACCGAGCGATCAGCGCTGAGGTGCCCCGCGGGCCCTTCGGATGAATTAGGGGGCCATGCGGCGCGCGGGCCCACGCCCCCGCAGCGGGAGTGCGCTTCGCGCGGGAAGTGAGCGCTGGAATGTTACTTCTTTTTTTTTGGCCGGCGTTCCCGAGCGCGGCGCGCCGAGAGCAGGCGCCTGAGGGCCCGGCTGCCCCGGCGCCCGACGCGGGGGGGTGTGGGGGGGTCGATGCAATTCGCTCTTCTCCGCGTCAGATTAGCGCCCGTCGGCCCGCCGCTGCGGGAGTTTAGCGCAAGCAACGCGTGCGCATCAAATGAGGCGATCGGCGAACCTGGCTTAGGAGCGGGGGCTGCGCCCTTGTATGCGGAGAAAGTGCGCGCCTGCGCGCGTGGGCGCATCGCCGCCATGTTCCCAATCAACATGAAAGGGACATGATGAACAAGGTCTTCTCGAAGAGACCCCCTGAGCCAGGATCAGATGCAGAAGACGCATGACATCGGTTGGGCTGCTTTGCTGGTCGCGTAGAACGCCTGACAAGACCACAACACAAACGCCTACTACGAGGGCTCACCCGACCCATCTCGGGAAAGGAGAATTGTTTCAAAAGGGTCCGGCGATAATTTGGGTCCGTGCTCTCCCCTCCCCCCCCGAAGAGTTTGATTTTGTCGGGCGCGCTGGTCTGAGGGGAGGTGCGCTGTGCTGGTGCGCACTGCTATGCGTGGGGTTGCCCAAAACCTCCCCCCCCTCGATCGGGAGCCTTGAGACGGGGGTCAATGCAAACGGGGGTCAGCCTGAGCGTTGGATTTTGAAGGATCTTGCAAGGCGAGGAGCGCACAGACCCCGGTCAACGCGCAGGATCCCGCAGGAGTATGTCAGGATCTTGCAGGATCTTGCAAGGCCTGAGTGACCCGGGTTTGCATTGACCCAGGTCAGTGTGTTTCTCTCTCCCCCCCGCGGATATCCCAACCGAAAAATCATCGGACGGGGCTAGGACGAGGATAGATCCGTGTAGATCCGTTCCACAGCGTTCCGGGACGCTCCTGAGCAGGCCGCAGCGCCCGAGACAACCTCCAAAGCCGCCGGATTTCAGAGATTCCCGATTTATCCTCACCCAGTGTTATCCTCACCTCGGCTTGCCTAGTAAGATCACAAGGCGAACGATCTCGAGCTGGGCCGCCGCCGTTCCGGGCGCAGCCCTCCTCGAAGGGCCCGCGGCGTGCGGATGCCCCGATGCCCCAGGGCGTGCACGTGCAGGAAACGGGGAACAGCAGGCGCATCGAGGAGGAGGCGCCGGGCACCTGTCGCCGAGGAGCGCGAGGAAGGCAAGGGGGCGGACTGGAGGATGGGCGGGACGAGGAGGCGGGGGACGAGGGGTGCGGCGGGGGAAGGAAAAACGAAGGGGAGGATGACGAGGTGGAGGAAGAGGACATCGGGAGAATACGGGAGGACGAGGACGAGGAGGGGGAGGAGGAGGAGGAAAAGGGGGAGGAGGGGGCGGAGGACGAGGAGGAGGAGGAGGAGGAGGAGGAGGAGGAGGAAAACGGTGATGTGGGGGATGGGCAGGAGGAGGAAGAAGCGGAGGGAGAAGAGGAGGAGGAGGATCAAGAGGAGAAGGAGGAGGAAAACGGTGAAGTGGAGGATGGGCAGGAGGAGAGGAAGAGGAGGAGGAGGAGGAGGAGGAGGAGGAGGAGGAGGAGGTGGAAAAGGAGGAGAAACACGGCGAGGTGGAGGATGGGCAGGGGGAGTAGGATCAGGAGGAGGAAGGGGAGGAGGAGGAGGAGGAGGAGGAGGAGGAGGAGGAGGAAAACGGTGATGTGGAGGATGGGCAGGAGGAGGAATAATAGGAGGAGGAGGAGGAGGTGGAGGAGGAGGAGGAGGAAAAGGAACAGGAGGAGGACAACGGCGAGGAAGAGGATGGGCAGGAGGAAGAGGATCAGGAGGAGAAGGAAAAGGTGGAGGAGGAAAAGGAGGAGGAGGAAGAGCAGGAGGAGAAGGGGGATGAGGATGAGGAGGAGGAAAGGGGGAGGAGGCGAGGGGGGAGGGGGAGCAGGAACAGCAGCACGAGGAAGGTGAGGAATCGAAGGACTGTTGGGATGCCGCGATCTGGCGCAGTGCCCAGGAATGGAAGGAGAAACAGGCAAGGAGGAGAAAGAGCAGGCCAATAAGAGGCGAAGAACGACGACGGGAAGTAGGGGGCGGAGAATACGGAGGAGACGGCAACGAGGAGGATGGACAGCAGAAGTATGGGGAGGAACAGGAGGAGTCGGAGGTTGGGGGGTGAGATCGCAGTGGAACGGAGACCCCCAACCGTGAAATCGTTTCGTTTCGTTCGTGTCGTGCGTGCGGGCGAGGCGAAGCTGCGTGGGCGCGCGAGAGGAATGAACCCGCCGTTGCTAGGGCGAAGTCAAGACAAATGATTATCCCCCTCCCGCCCGTCCGGCGGTGGCCCGCGGTGTCCCGTGGTGTCCCGTGGTGTTCGCCGCTGCCAGGGCGAAGTCAAGACAAATGATTCTCCCTCGCCCGCCCGTCCGTCCGTCCGTCCGGCGGTGGCTCGCGGTGTTCCGCGGTGTCCCGCGGTGTCCCGTGGTGTCCCGTTGAGTGAGATCGACAGAGGAGATCGATAGATTTGGTGCCCCGAGGTGTCCCGTGGTGTCCAAAAGGAAAGATCGATAGTGAGATCGACAGGTGTCCCGTGGTGTCCTGTGGTGTCCCGTGGTGTCCCGTTGAGTGAGATCGATAGTGAGATCGAGAGGTGTCCCGCGGTGTCCCGTGGTGACCCGTGGTGGCCCGTGGTGTCCCGTGGTGTCCCGTTGAGTGAGATCGATAGAGGAGATCGATAGTGAGATCGACAAGTGTCCCGTGGTGTCCCGTGGTGTCCCGTTGAGTGAGATCGATAGCGAGATCGATTGAGTCAGATGTTGGTTCCACCCCCTCTCCCCCCCCACAACCTCCCTGTCATCCGAAGGGTGGCCGTATAGGTATGAACATCGGCATGGGGATGTGGACGAGCAGGAGGAAAGGCAGGACGAGGAGCGGGTAAAGGAGCAGGAGGAGGATTCAGAGGAGGATGAGGGTGGAAAGGTGTAGAGAAACGGGAGTCACGGGAGGAGGGGAAGGACAAGGCGGAGGCAGACGATGGCCATGTTAATGTGTATGATGATGGTGATGGTGACGCCGATGTTACCGATGATGAGGACCATGATGTTGATGATGATGGAGTTGATGTCGATGTTGACAATTAGGTTGATGATGTTGATGATGTTGATGGTGGGTTGCGAGTATGATGGTGTTGGTGCTGATGGTAATGTTTGTGTTTACGATGTTACTTGTCATGGTGAATATGATAAAGCTGCTTGTGGTGTTTGTAAGTATCATGATGGTGATGGTGATGCTGGTCACGCTCATGATGGTGGTACCGATGTTTGTGGTGATGACGGAGATGATGACGATGATGATGATGATGATGTTTACGATGACGATGATGGTGATGGCGATGAGGATGGTGACGATGGCGATGACGATGGTGAAGAAGACGATGATGCTGATGATGGTGATGGTGATGTTGATGCTGATGATGGTGGTGATGATGATTATGATCATACTCAGCATGATGATGATGATACTGATGATGATGATGATGATGATGATGATGATGATGATGATGATGATGATGATGATGATTGATGATGCTGATAGTGATGGTGATGTCGATGATGCCGATGATGATGATAACGATGATACGATTATGATGTCAATGTCGATGAGGACGATGATGAGGATGATGATGGCGATGGCGATGGTGATGGTGATGGTGATGGTGATGGGATTGACGATAGTGGTTTTGATGATGGCGTTGAGGATGATCATGATTATGATGATGACTATGCTGAATATGTGCTGCTGGTGTTGGTGATGATGGTGGGAGGATGGTGATGATCAAATTCTGGCTTGCCCTGTAGGAGTCCTAGCTAATCATAAATAATTGGTCTTTAGGACCCCCCCCCCCTTTTCCAGTGCCCCCCGCACCCTTTTTCCAATAGCACCCCTTCTTTTTCCGGTGGCACTTGTTTGCTTGACCTTGCGTGCTTGCTCTCGTTTGCTTGCTCTTGCTTGCCCTTGCTTGCTTGCACTTGATCGCTGGCTCTTGCTTGCTTGTTATTGCTCGCTTGCGCTTGCTTGCTTCCGCTTGCTTGCTTGCGCTTGCTTGAGTTTGTTCCTCCCGTTCTCCTCCCCTCATAAAAAAAACATGTTGACCAGCATGGACCCCGAACGGTGATTTCGGTGATTTCTTGCACTCTAGATGTAAAAGTTAAATGGTAACTGCATGTACAAGCTCTGCGGCGTAATCGATCTGAAGTAAACAAGCTGTGCTGTGTAAGCTGTATGGTGTGCGCTATGTGGTGAATGCTACGCGGTGCAAGCTCTATGCCGTGTGTGATAAGCGAATGAGTTGAGGCACGCTACATGGTGCAAGCTATGTGCTGTAAGCCACATGGTGTAAGCCAGTTGGTGCAAGATAAGGGGGGTGAGCAGCGTGGTGTTGTCGATACGACGCGGTGCAACGGCTAAGAGCAGTCGATTGCGAAGGCCTTACGGCCGGTGCCGCCGACCCTGAAGGGAGACGACGACGACGACGATGACGACGATGTGGTGTTGTCGATGCGACGCGGTGCAGCAGCTAAGAACAGCCGATCCAGTGCAGGCCCAAGAGGCGCCCACGCGGGCCGGCACCACGCAGCAGCGGACTCGCCCAGCTAGCGCACGGGGAACGCCCACGAGTCACCGAGCGCGTTCCACTACTCGCCAAGTGCCTGCTCGCAAACGTCCGAAAAACACGTGCCTGTTTTGATGTACTTTATCGTAGATCCTCCGGGGGGGATCCATAGGGGAAATAATATTGACATAAACATAACAACTCGGAGGTCCGCGCGGATTTCTCGGATCCGCGCTGGACCCCCCTGGCGGCGCCTCCGGCGCCGCCCCTGGCGCGCTCCGCGCGCCAGGGAGGGGGGTCCAGCGCCGATCCGAGAAATCCGCGCGGACCTCCGAGTTTCTATGGTTATGTGACTTTTTTGTTTCCCTGATCCGGGCCATTTGCGAGTAGTCACTTTGCGAGTCGTGGAGCGCGCTCGCCTAACGAGGGCCCCCCCGCGGGGCGGGCACCCGGCGAGGGCCCCCGGCGACCCGCGCGCAGCCTGCGCACCGAGCGCCCACGGGCCCCCCCCTTTCACGGGGCGGGTACTGGGCGGAAGACTGCCGCCGTGCCCCAGGCAGCGCACGGGGCGCCCGGGAGGCGAAGCCACGCGGCGAAGTCCCAGTCCGCTTGGCCAAGTGCCAGGGGCAAGGATGCAGTGGGGGCGCGCATCAATAAGCCATGTGCTTTTTGTCAGGGGATCCTGGGTTTCTTCGCTCCTCGCGCTGCGCGGTGACTTCCCGCAGCCGTTGAAGGAGCTGCTGCGTTCAGGGTGCTCCAGGTTTCCCCTCAGGTGCACCTCGCGCACGGGTTCTCAGGGTTGGGTTTCTTGCGAGGGTTTCTTGCGGCCGCGCCCACACTGTACCAGGGGCAACGATAGAGGGGGATAGGCATAGGGGGGGATGCATCGATCCCCAATCGCCCATTGATTGCCGATAGGGGCCCGATAGCCCCACCCCGCCCAGGAAGGTGCGGGTTCACGATCGGAAGCCTATCGCCGATCTATCGGCGATGTACCGCCGATTCCAGGTCGATGCAACCCCCCCTTATGCCTATCCCCCCCTACTGTTGCCCGTCAAAGTACCCCTGAGATCCGACGCTCCAACAAAAATCGGAGCAAATGGTTTTGGGCCGCTTTCGGGCTCCAGGGGCCCTCGCCGGGCTTCGGGAGCGTCAGAAAACGACTGAGGGCGAAACACCGGCCCCAGAGAAGTGGTCCGGACCTCCGGGGCGAACGCATCGAACAAGTTGGAGCAGCTGCATGTCTGGGATTCAACATTCATGTAAAGGCGCCCCGGGGAAGGCACTGTCTGTGCACCTCATGTCTTGCCACATCCCGCTGTGAGAGTCTCGCCGCGAGTATCTGGATGCGCGAGCAAGTCCGAGTGGACGACGAGTGCGACGACGACGACGACGGCGGCGGCGGCGGCTACGATGGGGAGCCGCGACGACGATGACTAGGAGACAGGCTCTGAGCAGGCCTCCTCTCCTCTCCTTCCTCTTCCTCCTCGCCGTACTCCCTCCCTTCTCTTCCTTCCTCCCTGCTCTTGCTTCCTGTGCCCTCCCTCCTTCCTTCTCCGTCCTTCCTCCTCCGTCCTGGCGGCCATCCTTGTCCCTACATCGAAGTGCTCATGGGGCGCCGAATGGGCAGGAGTCGGATGTGCAGAACCGAGCGCCTCGCTCGATACATCCCCACGACCTGGCCGCCTGAGTTGCTGAAACCAGCGCCTCGCTCGAGCTATCCTGACGATCTGTTCCGGAAGCAGAGAAGTCTGTTGGGCCAAAACAGGACAACCTCCTGAGACATCTCCACAATCTGGGCGCAAACGGGCAAGTGTAGCACCCCTGGCGACTCCCCCTTCTGATGCTGATGCCAGCGCCTCGCTCGAGACGTCCACACGATCTGTTCTGAAAAAGAGGAGCTCCTGCCGCGAACCGAGCAAGCCGCCTGAGACATCCCAACAGTATGGCAGCGAACTTGCGAGTGTAACACCCCCTGGCGGCCTCCCTTGGGGTGCTCAACTGCCATGCCTGCTACATCGCGCTGCTCATGTGTGAGTGAGCCTGTATCTGGTTGGGTCTGAGCGTGAGTGGGTCTGAGTGTCAGTGAGTCTGCAGGTGAGTGGGTCTGATTGTGAATGAATTGGTGTGAGTCGTCTGTGTGTGTGAGAGTCTTCGTTCGACTCGTTTGAGAATGAGTGGAGCTGAGTGTGAGTTTTCTGAGTGAGTGAGTCTGAGTGTGAGTGGGTCTGAGGGTGAATGATCTGAGCGTGAGGGAGGAGATAGCGTGAGTGAGTGAGTGAGTGAGAAGCGTCACCCCATCGTAGTATATGGGGAGATACGCCAAGAACGTTGTGGATGTCAGAGGTTCCCGCAGATTTCTGGTGTCGCCCCCCTGGCGGCGCCTCCAGCGCCGCCCCTTGCGAACTTCGCTCGCCAGGAAGGGGTATCGAGCTTTGGCCCTAGAAATCCGCGCGGACCTCCGAACATGTATGTGTGTAGTTGCTCCCCAAACATTGCTTGCACTCAGGGTGTTTAACTCCTGGTCTAAGGAATTGGGCCTGTCTGTCTGTCTGTCTGTCTGTCTGGCGGCTATGTTGTCGCCGTCGTCGCCTCGTCGCCACCCGTACCTAGGCCTGTCTGTCGGTCTGGCGGCTATGTTGTTGTCGCCGTCGCCGCCTCGTCACCACACATATGGCACAGCCAAGATCGCACCACATAGGTTGCAAAACATGCATTGTATCACATAGAATGCACATCATATATTGCACCATATAGCTTGCACGACATATATTGTACGACATTGATTGCACAACATATATACCTATACACACTGCACAGCATCAATTGCACCGCATGTGTTGCACAACATATATTGGTTTCGTATATTGCATCATAGATTATGCACAGCATAGATGACACTCCACCTATTGCACAGATATTGCAAAGCATATGTTGCACACACATCTGTATATATGTATATAGATGTCTACATGTATGTATAGTCCGATTCGATACATATATATATATATATACATTGCACAGCAGCATAGATTGCACAACCGATGTTGCACAGCACAGACAATTTCGCACATAATCCACACCGCGTAGTACCAGAATCAGACTGTTTGGGGTCCATTGTGGCTAACAGTTGTTACTATGTTATCGATCGGAAAGGCTTTCCAATTTGATTGTGCATTGTTCAAGGCCTCATCGCCCAGGGGGCCCAATGTCTCAGGGCAACATCTTTGAGCTGCCGGTTTCCTCAGAAGGCAGGGTGCTCCATAGATGGGGTAGCAAACGCGGACCCCAAGGAGTGAGCTCTTGCACCCTGGATGTGTAAGTTCTGCTGCGGTGCACGGCGTGGGGTGCAAGCTATGCGCGCTTCAAGCAACGTGGTGCAATCTACATGTGTGCGTGTGTGAAGGCTACGTGGGGTACGCAGTGTGTTGCAGATAATGTGTTGCAAGCAATGTGCATGTGCGCTTGTGTGTGTGTTTGTATGTGGTGCAAGCTCCCCCTGCTTCCCTGCTCCTCCTCTCGCATGGTGGCACAATTCGCCATAACGGCACCCCCGTTTAGGCTCTTCCGCTAGCGCAGATTTCCTTTGCCTCCCCGCCGACGCAAAAATGTGTGTGTGTGTGTGTTTGTGTTTGTGTTTGTGTTTGTGTTTGTGTTTGTGTGCGTGCGTGCGTGCGTGCGTGCGTTCGTGCGTGCGTGCGTGCGTGTGTTTGTGTGTGGTGTAAGCTGTGTGCTGCAAGCAAGGTGGCATAAGCTAGGTTGTGGTAGCTGCGTGGTGCAAAACTCATAAGGCGTAAGCAGGTTTGTGTAAGCTCTGCAATGCAAGCCCTGTGGTGCAGGTTGCGCGAGGCGCCCGCGGCCGCCCACGAGTCGAAGCCTCGGCAGACCCAGCTCGCGCACGGGGGCGCTCGCGAGGCGCCCACATCCGCCCACCAGGCGCGAGACTTCGGCGGACCCGCCCAGACCGCGGGGCGCCCACGAGGCGCCCCCCGGCCGCCCCCCAGGCGAGACCTCGGCAGGGGTGCCCTCCTCCGCCCAGCCAGCGCACGGGGCGCCCGCGAGCCGCCCACGGCCGCCCACCAGGCGAAACTTCGGCAGAGCGAGCACACTAAGCCAGCAGAACAGGTCAGACCCCCTGAGCGCAGGCACTTTGGGGGGGCACTGCGAGGTCTGTTCGGATCTTGGGCCGGCGCTCTGTCAGGCCGGAGCGAACCGTGGGCAGGCCGACGACGCCCTGCCCCCAGGAGGTTGATGAGGTGTTGAAACGCATCGTATCCTCACTGTCTGCGGAGACAGAGGCGACTTGCACACGTTATCACCCGCGGTCCCTCCTGATATTGGAAGCGAGCGCGGTCACGTCGTTCACACCGGTGACGGGTCACAGGCTCTGCGCATCCATGAGATCCGAGATCAGCAGCTCATCCGAATTCGGCTCCGCATGCATTGAGTGCAGATGTTGTTTCATTTGTGGATACTGTTGTTTCATTCCGTCATCGTCTCGTGACTCAATTGTGCAGCTTGCCGGAGGCAATTAGCAAGCTCGAACGTTTGGGATATCCACGCGAAGAGATCGTGCGGCAGCTGAAAGACGAGTCCTCGCATCTATGCAAGGCCACTCGGGCTTGTGCTTGCTTTGATGTGTGTTGCGGCCATGTCTCAGCGAAAAGCTCACCCTTGGCATCGGTAAATCGCGAGTCGGCCGCATGCGCAATAGTGCGAAGTTGCGGTCGCGCAGTGTGTTGTCTGGGCGCTCCAGGGTGCGGAAGATTGGCACTGGTAATGCGGATATGGTGGCGCGACACGCGAAGGTTTCTCGTTGGTGCACCAGATGTCGTGCGAAGACGCAGCAGCACAACAAGCGTTTGTACGTTCGTGGTGCGTGGCACGTTTTGCAGGGATGTGTGGTGCGTTACATGGTGTGCTCTGCTAGCCTTGCCTCCCCATCCTGCTGTGACCGCGATCTGGGATGTCTGTACTCCTCTGTCCTCCGCATTAGCATCTGTGCCCTGTGTGCGGCGGAACTTGTGTAGCATGCGCTCTAGCTTGGTTGCAAGCCGCGTTCTCAAAGAAGCATCTCCCAGCTGTACCACCGCTTCCTCAAGGCGCCCCGCTGGGGGAGGGGAGGGAACGGCAGTGGACTCGCCCTGCTGCGCACGTGCTTGCAACGCAGGCGCCCCGCTCGGTAGATGATCTCGTTCGAGCTCCACCGACCTGATCTCTTCTGGCATGGCGCCGCCCCTGCTCTTTGGGCCTGCCGGGGCGTCCCGGACCCAGGGAGCCCCCCCCGCCCCCTGGCCATGGACCGATGTCGCCCAGCCTGCTGTGCCTGACGCCCTCTGCGTCCTCTTGCCTCATCCTTGGCTTCGCCACCATCCTTCTCCTCGTCCTCGGTTTTGGCCCTGCCACCGCAAGTGGGCGGGCGGCGGCGGCCGCTGCTCGGGAGGGGGAAGCGCTGGGAGGCGGGCCTAGGAAGGGGTGGGGGGAGTGACGAGGAGTGACGAGGAGGAGGAGGAGGAGGAGGAGGAGGAGGAGGAGGAGGAGGAGGAGGAGGACGTTCTCTTGCCTCATCCATGGTGTTGCCCTGTTCTTTCGCCTTGGCTCCGCCATCCCGTCCATCGATCTTTTCGGTCCAGGGTTTTGGCCCGGCCCAGAGCGATGTCGGTAATTACGTGTCGCGCCGTTGCGGCGGCGACCCCCGGCTCGGGCGTTCAAGGTTGGACGCCGCCAGTGCCGGCGGCGAGCGAGGGAGGGGAGATGAGGAAGAGAAGGCCTTCTCAGAAGGCTCGGAGGTCCCCCGGCCTTGTGAGAAATTTTCTACGCGTGCCCCGACGGCAGACAAAACAATTTCTCAGAAGACGCGAGGGGCATCGGAGGAGTCCCGCCGCCTTCCGAGAAGGTCGTCTCCTTCTCACTTCTCCCCCTGGCTCGCCGCCGATAGCAGCCCCGAATCGGCCGACATCGAACGATTCTTACCGCGCGGGGCGGGAAAATGACCACAGCCACTGCTTCTTGTTTGCGCCGCCTTCCAGCCGGCCGAAAAAGAAGCAGTGGTTGTGGTCATTTCCCTGGTGCCAAGCTTAACGAAGATGACCACGACCACTGCTTTGTTTCTGCTGGCTGGAAGGCGGCAACAAAAGAAAAACAGTGGCTGTGGTCGTTTTCACGCCCCGCATGCTGGCACTATTCTCAGGAAGCCGCGATGCCCGCGCGATGTCAACAGCCGGCGCGCAGGTCGTCTTGGCACGAACCTGCCGCAGGCAGTTGGCGCCATCGTCTGCCAAGTGGACTAGCGAGTTGCCCTTATTCTGCTCTCGAGAGGGTGTTGCATCTGCAGCTGGTGCTGGCCTGCGCCCGCTGAGCCTGCTCCCGGGCCTGGGACTCGCGACCCTGCTCTGCGCTTTGCTTCCCGACGGTACCCGCACGGTGCGGCTAAGAACCTGTAGCGCATGCCTCGCAGCGTTCCCTCTATTATCTCGGAGGCGATCAGGGGGGCGAATTGCCCAGGGGAAGGCAATACATGTATTCAGGTGCGCCGATGATCGATGTCTTCGAAAAGGGCTCCCGGGCGAAGACATGTAATGCCCGCCCCCGTGCCACTCGCCCCTAATCGTCGCCGCCGACGATCCAGATCTCCCAGCGGGTTCACTGCGCCGCGTCTGGGGCAGAGAGCATTTCTGGGCCTGAAGCGGCTGCAGTCCCGCCGCGTGGACTTCGCAGTGGGGAAAGTCGTGCACCTGCCGCCCAAGAGGGCGCGAAGTCAGTCGCGCTTCGCGCTCCGCGGGCCTCATTCCTCCTCCCCCTCCTCCTCGTCCTCCTCGTCTCCCCTTTGGGGGCGGCGCGAGAGCGCGAAGTTGTTCGCGCTTCGCGCAGCGCGAAGCGCGAAGTTGGAAGCCCCTGGACTCTGCGGGGGCACGGCGCTGTCCCGGGCACCCTGCGGGCGCCGTGGGGCCATCCCAGGCCCCGCTCGCCCTCTCCGCGCGCGGGAGCAGCACGGGCACAACGGATCTCCTCCTCCTCGTTCCCTCGCCCCCACGCGGGCCCCAGGGATGGGCCGAAGAGGCCCTCCAAGGCAACCCCCTTGCTCCCAGAGATCTCTCTGTACACCCTGGTTGTCCGCTCTGTCTCACTACACACTTTGCGGCGCCTCAAGGTCTAGGGCGATGTCACCGCGCACGGGGGCGCGGGGCAGGCTGTGGAGCAAAACTCCGTCGGGTTTGATGGCTGATACACGTTTCACGGCGTCGTGTGTCCCCATCAGCTCATCTCGGAACCCTGCCCACGAGAGCCGACTGGAGAAGGGACGAAGAGACGTGTGTGTAGTGAGACAGAGCGGACAACCAGGGTGTACAGAGAGGTCTCTGGGAGCAAGGGGGTTGCCTTGGAGGGCCTCTTCGGCCCATCCCTGGGGCCCACGTGGGGGCGAGGGAACGAGGAGGAGGAGGAGGAGGAGGAGGAGGAGGAGGAGGAGGAGGAGAACGATGACGACCACGACGAGAAGGAAGAGGATGAAAAGGAAACGAAAGACGACGAGAGCAAGAACGAGGACGAGGACGAGGAGGAGGAGGAGGAGGAGGAGGAGGAGGAGTAAGAAAACGACGACAGAGCCCTCAAACTCGTCTCTTGGAGCCCTCTTCGGCCTCTTTTGGGGGGATCTTGGGTCCTCTCGGGGCTCTTTGGGGGGGTCGTGGGGCCCTCTTGAGGCTCTCTTGGGGCTCTCTTGGGGGCCTCTTGGGAGCCCTAGAGGGCTTCTAGGGCGTCGGTGGAAAGAGCGGGGTCCTAACGTTTGGCCCCCTCTGGGCCCTCGGAATCGCCCCCTGGGGGGCCCTCTTCTTAGGGCGATCTCGGGCGCTCTGGGGGCCCCTCTTGGGCCCCTCTTGGACCATCATGGGGCCGCCTTGAGGCCTCCAAAGCGCGTCAGAAGCGAAATGGCGAGAAGTCAAAAATCAACGATGTTCCTCAGGTTTTTGGGTGATTCCCTAATAGCGCTTCGCTAAAGGAATCAACAAAAGGTCAACGATTCCTCGCATCTTACTTTCCACCGGGGGGGGGGGGGGGGGAGGCGCCTCACCGGTCCAGCGACGGTCCGGAACGGTCTGGAATTGACTCACCATGGCGTTCTGGCGTGATTTGGTCCAGGAATTCGCCTCGCTATGGAGCTCTGGCTCGATTTGGTCCAGAGATGTCGCAGCAGGGCCAGCCGCAGTAATGATAGTAACCGTGTGCCTTCTGGGGGCATCCTGAGTTGGAGGTCCTGGCTCCCCCCCTGTCCAGGTCCAGGGGTAGGTAAGGGGTAGGGGGTGGAGTAAACCCTTCTCGAAGGGGAAGAAGGGAAGATAAAAGAGAAAACGCGCAAACCACCCACGCCCAGAGGGCTGACGGGATTTGCAAATGCTGCAGGCCGCGCTCGTTTTTCCCACTCGCAAGGCGACCGCAAGTCGTTGATGAATCCGTTCTGTAATCGCGCGTAGCTTTCGTGCGTCAAGCCACGGGGGCCCTCCTGCGCCTTGGATCGCTTTCTTGGCCGCGTCCCCTCAGATGCGTAAGTCCGGGTGCGTTTGCGGCGCTGTGAGCGCGCGGTGCCGTGGGCGCGGCGCAACGTGCGCGGCGTTGCGCGCGCGGTGCCGCGCGCCCGCGCGCGCGGTGCCGCACACGGTGCCGCGATCAGTGCCGCGCGCGTGCTGGAGAGCGCGTTCTGCAGTTGTGCTACGCGCGTTGTGCCGTGCATGCGCGATACCGTATGTGTGCGGTGCGTTGTGCGTGGGGTGCCGGGCCCGAGGTGCCATGCGCGCGGCGCCCCGCGTTGTGCATCGCGCGCGTTGTTGCGTGTTCTGTGCAAGGTTCGCGTGGTGCCGCGTGGCTGTGGCGAGATGCGCGCGTAGTGTTGGGCTCCTGTGCCTCGGCGGTGCCGCGCGCGCGGGGTGCGGCGTGCGCGAACACGGCGTGCGCATCCTTCTGGCGGCCCGTGCGCTGTTTGGCCTTCATGCCGCCCGTGACATCAACGGCCGCTTTCTCCTTTCCGTCCCCGTTCCGTCCCTCCCTTTTATCTTTAAGTCGGGCCTGTCCTTCTACAGGGGGGATACTCTAAAATAGTCAAAAACTGTCTGGGGACGACCGTTCTATTATTTAATCGCTTCGCTCATTCCGCCGGCCCACATTGTATCGCTGGTGCTGTATGTTTGTGTGTTCGTGGCGAGCGAGAAGAAGTTGGAGGAGGGGGAGGAGGAGGAGGATGAAGAGGGGAGGATGAGGACGAGGAGGCGGTCTCTCGATGGCTTCTTGGACTATTTTTGGGGCCAACCCTGGTCGTGGACAAGACGCCTCTTTGGGAGGCTTCGTGGGGTCTCTTGGGAGGCCTGTCGGGGGCCTGTTGGAGGTGTTTTTGGGGCCTCCTGGGGCCTCTTGGGGGCCTCTTGGGGCCTCCTGGGGGCCTCTTCGGGCAAAGATGTCGAAATGCCCGTTCGGGTCCCCCGTCTGTGCCCTCTCTTGGAGCCGTCTTGGGGGTGTATTGGGCTGTCTTGGAGGCCTCTTGGGCAGTCTTGGGACTGTCTGGGGACGACCGTTCTATTATTCAATCGCTTCGCTCATTCCGCCGGCCTTGGAGCGCTATTTGGGGCCTCTTGGGGCCGTCTTGGGGGCCTTTTGGGAGCTTCTTAGGAGCGTCTTGGGGCTCCTTGGCGGCGTCTTGGGCTCCCCTGGGGCCTCTTAGGGGGCTCTTGGGGGCCCCTTGGGGGGGGAGGGGGGGTAGTCGATTGCAGCCACCCCCTCGGAGGCCACGATCCTCGTGAGGGGTGGCGAAAAATAGCCTCCCCCTGAGGATTGCCCGGGACCCGGCCGGGGATCAGCCGGGGTATTTTTCGTCCAGGGGCCCCCAGGGGCCGCCCCGCGCGCGCGAACTAGAAATATTGTTAAAGTAGTTACCGGAGATCTTAGCACGCCTCTGGCCCGTTGGGCCGGCGATTTTTTTGATTATGTTCAAACATGTTTGGACAATTTTCGATTCTCCCTCCAAGTTCCGCCTGTAGGAGGACATGCCCGACCTAATCATATCTCTTCCGTCTCCTTTGCTTTCGCGCTCCCCCCCCCGCCCCGCCCCGCCGCGTGCTCTCTCTTCCCTCTTGCCCTTCCCTGTCGTCGCCCACTAACCCTCCCCGCCGCCTCCCCGCCCTTACCCGAGCACATGCCCCTTCCGCTCGCGGCGCAGGCCGCCGACCGAATTGCTTAGCGTATAGTCCGGCCTAGCATGCGTCTGTGTAGTTGCGGACACAAGAAATAACGAGTGTTGCGAGCGGCGCAGGTGCCGTGTCAGTGGGCGACCACCGCGCCCACGGACAAGCTGGTTACCGTCACGCCGCCGCCACAGTGCAACACAGCCGGTTTGCAACCACAGAGGAGTCGAACGTTTCGGCACGTGCCGTACCGCGGGGGCGCTTATAGCATAACCCGGGAGGGCCTGGACTGCAGTGACCGTTGCTAAGATAAGTCTCCGAACTGGTGCTTGGCCCGCGCGCCTCCCGCCTCCCTTCGCCACCTCTCGTTTTCCCCGCGCTGCTCCCTCGCCGCGCCTGCAAGTCTTCCCAGAAGGGCTCTCGGGGGCCCCCAGAAGTCCCCCCTCGCAAATAAAAGTTCGGGCCATCCCCAGATGGGACCGGGGCCCCCCTCGTCCTCCACTTGCCCTTCTTCTCCTTTGATGGGCCGCGCCTTCCCGTGGTTCAGCCCCCCTCACTCCTCGTGCACTTCCCCCTGCTTTCTTTTTGCTGGAATAGTTCATCTGCCGAGGCAGGTGACCAGGCGGGGCCCGTAGGCAGAGGCGACGACGTTGCCTGCGGACGACCCCCTCGGAGTGCCGCGGAGGTTCCCCCAGGGGATGACGGGGGCTCGGACGTCGCAGCGGTCGTGGTGGTGGTCACGGCGGTGGTGGTCTTGTCATTACTGGATGCCGCGCAGGCGCCGCCGTGGCCTACGATGTCGCCGCAGTTGCGCTGGTTGCGGCGCCGGAGTCGTCGTGTCCGTGGCCGCGCGGCCGGCGTCGTAGCGGTCGTGGCGGCGCTGGCGCCGTCGTGGCCGCGGACGCAAGGGTCGCGGTGCCCTCGGTGGCGTCGCTGGCAGGGCATCCTGTCGAGTGGCCCGAAGCCCGCGGCGCAATCGCCGCGGACCGCCGCGCGGCCGCGCTGAGCCGCCCCACGTTTCATCGGGCCGCTCGCGGCCGTCATCGGTGCAATCTGGCCCGTTCAAGTCCCGTGGGGCTTGCTCTCGATCCACCCTGCGCGCGCCCCATTACCGCGTTTCGATCCTAGCGAAACGTGCGTGGGCAATTTTTCATGGTCCACCGGTGCCTTCGCTCGGAGCGCAGCGCCCTCGCGCGTGTCGGCCTGCAGCGCCGGGAAATGCGCATTCCTCGGAAGCTCGAGGGATGTGCGGCGACCTGCTGTTTCAGCCAGGGCCCGCGTGCATGTTCCTCTGTAAAGCCTGGAGACATTAGATGCACCGTGCAAAGGCGCGCTGAGGCTGGGCCCACCCAGCTTCCAGGTCTCGACGGAGTCGAACCACAGTCGTCTCCTCGGTCCACTTACTCTGGTTGGCCCGTCTCCGAAAATGAGGTTAGTTCTTGCTCGAGTTCATTCCTCCCAGGTCCAGCAATGTGACTCACTATGGCGTTCTGGCTCCATTTCCTTTCACCCGAATCTCCACACGGGTGGCCTGGGGGAGGCGTCTCACTGGTCCGGCGGCGGGTCCACATTGCCGGGGTCGATGCCGTGGCGGGGGGATATGTGAATTGGTGGCCCCGAGCTGGAACGACGTGTTTTCTCCCTGATAGCGTTTCGCTACGAAGGGTTCTACAGGAGGTCAAAGATCAGGTGGGGCCAGAGGCCAGGCGTCTCACCGCTTTGGCGGCGGTCTGGACCTTCGCAGATCCAGAAATGATGCCCCCTCTGGTGTTCTGGTTCGATCCGGTTCAGAAATGAGACTCCGTAGTGCGTTCTGGCCAGATACCCACAAATCAGTATCACTATGACGTTCTGGCTCGATGTGGTCCAAAAATTGAGCTCACCATGGCGTTTTGGCTCGATTGTAGCTCTCAGTTTCGCTCCACCAGAAAGCAGGGGAGGGGGAGGGGGGGGCCAGTGTTCTGGCTCGGTGTCGGCCTTCGCCGATCCAGGAGGCCCGCCCGCTGGACGCTCTCGTCGTCTCCCGGGGCGTACCCCTACGGGCGGGCGTGTGGGAGGCGATGGGTTCGTCTTGCCCCCGTGGACGGTCCCGTCGTCTCCCACGCTCCCGCTGCGGGCGAGCGTGTGGGTGGCGACGAGGTCGTCCCGTCGCCGTGGTCTGTTCGCCCGTCGGACGGATCCTCCATGCTCCGCTCCGCTCCCTCCCTCACTCCCTCCCTCCCTCCCTCCCTCCCTCCTCCCTCCTCCTCCTCCTCCTCCTCCTCCTCCTCCTCCTCCCCTCCTCCTCCTCCTCCTCTCTCTCCTCCTCCTCTCCTCCTCTCCTCCTCCTCCTCCTCCTCCTCCTCCTCCTCCTCCTCCTCCTCCTCCTCCTCCTCCTCCTCCCTGCTGTCCTGGCCCGATGTCCGCCGTCGCAGGTCCAGACCCTCGCTGGCAGGGGGCAGGGAGCGCTCACGATTCCAGCTGTCCTGTTCTGGCCCCGCTTCCGTCCTCGCAGGTCCAGACACGGAGCTCCTCCTCGCGCGTTCTGGCTCGACGTCGGCCGTCGCAGGTCCTGGAAGTGCTGCGGGGGCGAAGAATTCTCGCCATCCCAGCTGTCCTGAGGTCCAGAAAGTATGGCAGGGCCATCGGGCTCGCACGATTCCAGCCTGCCATAGGTCAAGAAAGAATGGCAGGGGCATCGGACTCATCGTTCCAGCTGTCCTCATCAGATTCTCACCATCCTAGGCGTCTAAGGTCCAGAACATGTAGCAGGGGCCTAGGATTCTGACCCATCCAGTTGCCCTAGGTCGAGAAGGGGTGGCACTTTGTCAACTCTCCTGGGTCCAGATAGTGTGGCAAGGCCATCATATTCTCACCATTCCGGCTTTTCTCCGTTCAGGAGGTGTGGCAGGGGCAATGGATTCTCACCATTCCGGCTGTCCTGGGTCCATCACGCGATCCGCCCCAGGATCGATATTATGGCAGGGCGGCGCCGGGGAGGGGGAGCAGGTGAGGAGGAGAGAGAGGCGGAGGAGGAGGATGATGATGATGAGGAGGAGGAGGAGGCGGAGGATGCGGAGGAGGAGGAGGAGGAGGAGTGGAGGAGGAGGCGGAGGAGGAGGAGGAGGATGAGGAAGGGGAGGAGGAGGAGGAGGAAAAGAAAAGGAGGAGGAGGAGCAGGAAGAAAAGGAGGACCAGGAGGATGAGAAGGTGGAGGAGGCGGAGGAGGAGGAGTGGAGAAGGAGGAAAAGGAGGATGAGGAGAAGGAGGAGAGGAAGGAGAAGACAAAGGAGGAAGAGTACGAGGGGGGACCTGTGGGACATCACAGAACTCTCTGAGGACAGCTCCTACGCAAGCAGGGGTGGGACCGCTTGATGCCTGATGCTGTTCCAAGCGCGTTCTTGTCACCATGTCGACATCATGACCGTCCAGTTCATCAAAGTGTTCAATTCCGTCATCGTAGCGACAATATGATGGGGCTGTGATCGCAAACCGAAATTTCAGGCGTCGATTCGTCTCCACCCCAGTTGCCATTGGGGTGCTTCGCGCTTGGGTAAGTTTTGCCTCTTGGGTGTGTGTTGACGGGGCTCCGACAGCTCGTGGAACAGTATCGTGGTCATCGTGAGGCCTCGTGGTGGTATGTCGGAGATCTTCTTGAACCGTCGCCGATTGTTTGGAGCCTTCTTGGAGGTCATCCTGGGTCACCCTGGCCCTTTTGCGGCCATCTTGGGCCGTCTTGGGCGCTCCAACCCCTCGTCATTCCTCCCGCCCGCACCCAGGGTGTGAGGGGGTAGACCTCTCTGAAGGAAAGCACGTTGTGGAAAGATGGAAAAAATCAATTTGCTAGACCACTTTAGCCCAAAGGGCTGGTGGTATTCTGCTCGGGAGTCTCTGCTGAGAGCATTCGCTCCAGATCCAGCGACCATCGGCCGCGGTATGTCGTTTCCGGCGCGTCCGGGCCCCGAAGCAGCGAAACAGCCACCAGAATCGGAAACGAAGGTTGGAGGAGGCAGGCGGAACACTATCGGTAACAGCTGCTCAAGGCTGGGCGTTGTCTTGCAGCTGAGGCCGACGCGAGAGCCCGCTGTAGGCTCGCGCCTCCCGTCAAGCGAAGCAGAGCGACACGCGATCAGCCTTCAAAGCGTAGGCATGCCGCAGGGGCCGCCGCCGCGACGCGCTGAGCAGACGTTTCTCTCCCTGCGGCGCCTCCGGAGGCGCCCCCGTCGCACGCGAGGGGGTCCAGCGGAGGTCCAAAAACTCCGCGCGGACTGTCCAACGTGTATTGAAATGGCCTTCTTGAGGGCCCCTTGAGCCGTTTTGGAGCCTTTTTGAGGGCCCCTTGAGCCGTTTTGGACATTGCGAAGGCCCAAGAGGCGAACATGCTAAAAATGTAGGGTTTCCTAAGGGCGGACTGTCCAACGTGTATATTGATGCCGTTCTTTGTTCCTCAATGCTTTCTTGGCCCTTGCTCCCGAAGCGTCCAACGTCTCCCCGCCCAGGCGCTGACGGCCTGGGACAAGAAGTGACCGCCGCCTGCCGCCCCTCTTCGCCGCACCGCGGTCAGGGCAGGCCCCCGGCCCAGGCGTCCGATGCTTTCTGCGCGGCCTCTTTGTCCTACCCGAGACGTCGCCACGTCACGAGCCTGCCGTACGCCCTGCAGGGCTGCTCACGGTCCATGTCGACCCGACCCGATCCGACCCGATCTCCAAACGTCGATTCCGATTTCGATCTCTACCGATCCGGCACCGACCGACTCCCTCGCGCCTGCAGGGGCCACGCCCGATCCGTGGTCCCGAGCGACCGGGTGCCCGTCCGACTCTGCGCCGGTTCGGGCGCGATCCTGTCCGTCTCCGACCCGGCCGGCCCGGTCTCGCGATTCGGCCCACTCAGGCTTGTGCCCTACGGAGGAGGCGCAGCAAGAGGAGCAGGAGGAGGAGGCGGAGGAATCGAAGGACCTACTCTTGCAAACGCCTTCATGCCCCTCGGAGCCGGCCGTGCGCGCACACCCGCCGAATCTGGCCGCGGATGCGCTGCACGCGCCGCTTCTCGAGTGCGGGCGGAACTGTCTCGGGGCCTCGACGTTGCCCCAGCGGCGGTCACATCGGACGTCGGATTGTTTAGGCCTCGCAGATGTGGTCAGCGTAGACTTGGTCGAAGGATCGCTCCGCATGATGCGGCTCGATGCGGCGCCCGATTTTCTGCACGTCGACGGCGCCGATACGTCGCCCACGTCGCCGATGCATTGCCGATGCGTCGCCGATGCGTTGGCGATGCGGCGGGATCCTCCGACTACAGCCGCTCGGACCCATGCGATATTGCGCGTGAAGAGAAACGGCTGCATTAAAGCATAGAGCATAGACTTTCGGAGATGCGTGCGGATTTCTTGGATCTTCGCTGGACCTCCCCCCCCACCTCCGGCGCCGCCCCCTGGCGCGGGGGGGTCCCAGCGCCGACCCAATGAATCCGCGCGGGCCTCCGAACATCTATGTCAACGCCAATGTTTCTTCTTCTAGTGCTGACACCTACGCCCCGGTGGCACGTCGGTGAGCAAGGTTGGAGCACCGCAAGCCAAGGGAAGCAAAGGTCACTGTCATTCCAGGTCTCTCAGATGGGGCCAGAGCAGATGGCGTCGGAGGATCACGCCGCATCGCCGATCCATCCCCGATGCGGCGCGATTCGGAGTCCGATTTCTCCGTCCCGACGTCGTCGGTGCATCGATGATGAATCAACGATGCGGTGCGATCCTCCGACCCCATCTGCTCGGCCCCCTTTGGGAGGCCTTCACTGTGTCAGCGCGAGCAGGGTGGTGGCGCGAGGGAGACGGCTTTTCTGTGAAGGCGGCGGGAGACTTCGTAAGTGGCCGGGGCCTTTTTGAGGAGGACCTGGAGTCTCCTGAGAGGGCTCCAGTGTCAGAGGAGCAAGAAACCATGACAGTGATACGTTCCAAAAGTTCCAGATTTTTCCCGTGCGGCCAGGGACGAATTGCCTCAGGCCGTAACTCCAGAATTCTTGGCGGTTCGTGTGTCCCCACCTACTTGTGGCATCGGCATCCGGTGACTGGATTGGATTTGAGTTCATTCGTCGCCCACGTACGGCAAGCACATGGAGTACATCAAAGTCAGGGTGATCCCCTACTTGTTCCACTTCTGAGCTGCAGCATTTTTTCTCCTCTCCCCGCTGCCTCGGTTCCCTTTTCGTCGCCGTTCTTTTCGTTTTGCCGTCTTTCTACTCTTCGCACTCTCTCTCGCTTTTGTTCCTTCGTCGTTTTGCCCCCTCGCACTTTGCTCGCGGTGCCGTGTTGCCGGTTCGGCGTAGCTGCCCCTCGCTTGTCTGCCCGACTTTGTGGCGCCGCGCGGGTGTCCGCCCGCGGTCGCGATCAAAAAATCCCCCCCGCCTACCCACGCAGCGCCGATGGCCCGGCGAGTTGCATTGATCAGGGACGCGTGGGAGCACGCAGTTGAAGAAAGAGGGGCAGCCGTCGAGGCGAATATCGGGATCAGTTTGAGCAGGCCCGGGAGTCGACCAAGCATATTTTCGCGGGTCTCTTGAGATGGGAGCTTGTTGGCAGCTTACCTGGGCCACGCCGGGGCCACTTTGGAGGCATGTGGGGCCATCTTGGGGCTCTCTTGGGGCCCTCTTGGGGCTCTCTTGAGGCTCTCTTGGGGCTATCATGGGGGCCTCGGGGGCTCTTTTTGGGCCATCTTCGAGGCCATCGATTACAGAAGGGTGGACAACCAATTACGACCCCCCCGTCGAACGGTGGCCGAACAAGCTCATCGTGGGGCGCTCTTGTGGCCGTCTCTGGCCCCTTTTGCCCGCGCAGGGTCGTGCGCGCAGTCTTGTGGCTCGTGCGCGTGTACGGTAGGGGTGGTTCGGCGTTCGCTCCTTGGCCCGCCAGTGAGCCGCTGGCCCCAAGCTTCCTCGGCACAACTGGCCTCCTGTTACGCGTTTGCTCGGCAGCCCCCCAAAAACGGGGAAAACTGACGGCATGAAGGAAGCAGGCCCTGGATCCGTCCCTTGGCTTCCGGCCTCCAGGGAGATTGTCTTCGGCCCCGGTGGATATGACAAGAGCAGCTCGGGGTGAAGCGCGCCAGTGCTGGGGAGGGCCCCCCGGGGGTCTGGCGCTCGCTGCTCCGAGGGCCCGCGTCTCGCGCCCCTGCCAGACCAGGATATGGGGCCCCAAGATCGGGCGCGTGGCGGCTGCGTTGCCTCTCTCCTCGGGCAGGCGGGGAGGGCGGGAGGGAGGGGGAGGATGAGGAGGAGGGGGGGGGATCAAGCTCGGTGCGCTCGCGTCATATCTGACGTCCTACCCTCCCTCCCATCCCTTACCATGGCGCTGATTTTCTCTATCCGCGGACGCGTGTCGTAGCGGACCTGTGGCTCCGCGCGCGCGTGCGTAGTGGGTGGTGGTGCACGTGCGTGCGTGCGTGCGTGTGTGCGTGGTTGTCGTGGTGGTGGTGTGGTGGTGGTGGTGGTGGTGGTGGTGGTGGTGGTGGTGGTGGTGGTGGTGGTGGTGGTGGTGGTGGTGGTGCTGTGGTGCTGGTGGTGGTGCTGGTGGTGGTGGTGGTGGACTGGTGCTGGTGCTGGTGGTGGTTGTGGTGGTGGTGGTGGTGGTGGAGGCCGGCGCCTCAACGAGAGCAGCATTTTGGGAAAAAATGACGCCGGCGCCTCAGCGAGAGTCGTTTCCCGGGATTTCCCGGGCATCCTGTGTGTTAGAAACAATACGCGGGGGGTGCGCGGCCATCACCCGGACGCCATCAGGGGAAGAGGGAAAGTATATTCATTTGAGAGAGTTTCTGTGGAACTCACGTCATCCTCACCCCCGGCGCGAAGAGCACGAGTCCAGAGCGGCCTCCGGCACCGTTTCCGGACAGATCCGCTGGATCCGGTGGATCAGCCGACGAACCCCAAACCGCCGCCCTCGCCTGAGACATCCTCACAAAACGGGCCCCGGGGGAGATGCCCAGAGGAGCCCAGAGCGGCCTCCGGCACCGTTTCTGGACGGATCCGCTGGATCCGGTGGATCCGCCGACGAATCCCAAACCGGCGCCCTCGCTTGAGACATCCTCGCAAAACCGGCCCCGGGGGAGGTGCCCAGAGGAGCCCAGAGCGGCCTCCGGCACCGTTTCCGGACGGATCCGCTGGATCCGGTGGATCCGCCGACGAATCCCAAACCGGCGCCCTCGCCTGAGACATCCTCACAAAACGGGCCCCAGGGGGGATGCCCAGAGGAGCCCAGAGCGGCCTCCGGCACTGTTTCCGGACGGATCCGCTGGATCCGCTGGATCCGGTCCGACGAATCCCAAACCGGCGCCCTCGCCTGAGACACCCCTCACAAAACGGGCCCCGGGGGAGATGCAAGAGGAGCCCAGATCCTCCGGCACCTTTCGGACGGATCCGCTGATCCGGTGATTCCGCCGACGAATCCCAAACCGGCGCCCCGCCTGAGACATCCTCACAAAACGGGGGGGGATGCCCAGAGGAGCCCAGAGCGGCCTCCGGCACTGTTTCCGGACGGATCCGCTGGATCCGCTGGATCCGCTGGATCCGGTGACGAATCCCAAACCGGCGCCCTCGCTTGAGACATCCTCACAAAACCGGCCCCGGGGGAGGTGCCCAGAGGAGCCCAGAGCGGCCTCCGGCACCGTTTCCGGACAGATCCGGTGGATCCGCTGGATCCGACGAATCCCAAACCGGCGCCCTCGCTTGAGACATCCTCACAAAACGGGCCCCGGGGGAGGTGCCCAGAGGAGCCCAGAGCGGCCTCCGGCACCGTTTCCGGACGGATCCGCTGGATCCGGTGGATCCGCCGACGAATCCCAAACCGGCGCCCTCGCTTGAGACATCCTCACAAAACCGGCCCCGGGGGAGGTGCCCAGAGGAGCCCAGAGCGGCCTCCGGCACCGTTTCCGGACAGATCCGCTGGATCCGGTGACGAATCCCAAACCGGCGCCCTCGCTTGAGACATCCTCACAAAACCGGCCCCGGGGGAGGTGCCCAGAGGAGCCCAGAGCGGCCTCCGGCACCGTTTCCGGACAGATCCGGTGGATCCGCTGGATCCGGTGACGAATCCCAAACCGGCGCCCTCGCTTGAGACATCCTCACAAAACCGGCCCCGGGGGAGGTGCCCAGAGGAGCCCAGAGCGGCCTCCGGCACCGTTTCCGGACGGATCCGTTGGATCCGGTGGATCCGCCGACGAATCCCAAGCCGGCGCCCTCGCCTGAGACATCCTCACAAAACGGGCCCCAGGGGGGATGCCCAGAGGAGCCCAGAGCGGCCTCCGGCACCGTTTTACTTTCGCCCAGAAGCGCGCGCCCCTTCTTCTATATATATATATATATATATATATATATATACAGAAACTCCCGATCAACCGCAGAGCGGCGGATGTTATTGAGTAATTGTGGATGGGCCATCATCGGAAAGGCCCTGGCCGCCGTCCGCCAGCGGACGACTTCCAGGGCCCAGATGTCAGTTGGGTCCCGCGCCGCCGCGAGCACGCCACAAGACGCCGTGGCGACGAGGGAAGGGCCCCGAAGCAGCCCAGACAGGCGTCCGTCCGACCCTGGCCTGCCCTCGAGGCCACCCCCGCGGGGACAAACGAGGGCGCCCCCAGCAGCCGCCAGCGGCCGCCCCCACACCCCGACGGGGGAACGCGGGCGGCCCCAAACCCATACCGAGGGGCGCCGCACCAAAACTTCGAGGCGGACCCCGCAGGACGGCTCGAGGGCCCGCCCCCTGCGCTCCCCGCGCGTCGCCGCCCTGGCCCGCTGCGTGGCCTCCGCGGCGGGGCGAGCCCGCTTGGCCGCCCTGGCCTGCTCCGGCTCCCTAGGCATGCTGGCGAGGCTCCCTAGCCATGCTGGCGAGCGTCAGTATCGTTTCACCGACCCCCATCCCCATCCCCATCCCCTTCGAGACCCCCACCAAATTATCCTCCCAGTTGGGGGTGCACCCCTCGAGACCCGAAGGGAACGGCCTATATCCACATCTAGGGGGCCCAGGCCACGCGCCACAAGACATGTGAGGGGTGTGCAGTATTCGATTCGGGTACGCCGTACATCGGTCGATCACAGGTGGGCTCCCTACGGAGCCGCGAACAGTGTGAGGGGTGCGCCGCGTTGTGTGTGTGTGTGTGTGTGTGTGCGTGTGCGTGTGCGTGTGCGTGTGCGCTTTTGTGTGTGTGTGCTCTGTGTGTGCTTGTGCTTGTGCTTGTGCTTGTGCTTGTGCTTGTGCTTGTGCTTGTGTTATGTGGGTGTGGTGTGTGTATGTGTGTACGTGTGTGCATGGATATGTGTATGTGTGTGTGGGAGTGTGTGTGTGTGTGTGTGATGTGTATGTGTATGTGTGTATGTGTGTATGTGTATGTGTGTGGGAGTGTATGTGAGTGTGTGTGAGGGGGGGATGGGGGGGGGGCTGGTGCGCCGTCCGCCGGCGCCCACTGAGACCGTCACTGGGGCTCCCTGCGGGCCTGCGGTGCCGCGCAGCGTGTGAGGAGCGTGCCAGCTCGAGGGCGGGCACGCCCCACGTCGGCGCCCACGGAGACGCAGGTGGAGCTCCCTGTGGGTCAACGAGACGTTTGAGGGGTGTGCAGTCTTGGGGGCCGGTGCGACGTACTTCGGCGCACACTTCGACCGCAGGTGTTCGGGCTCCCCATGGGGCCACGAGGCGTGTGAGGATTGTGCCGAGTGGGGTGGGCGGGTTCGTCATACGCTGGCGCCTACCGAGACCGTAGGTGCATTGCCCACTGTGAACATCGTACGCCATTCGTCGGCGTGCACCGAGACCGAAGGTGTGGCTCTCTCTTGTTGGTGGTTCAAGGATGGGGTCCTGAGGGATGGGGTCGTAAGGACGAGATGTCTCAAACAACGTAAATCCACCCTTGGACCCCTTTTTCTCCCTAGGACCCCATCCCTCAGGACCCCATCTTTGAACCGCCGATTCTGGGCCTCGAGGCGTGTGCACAAGCTGGTACGCCATAGGCCGGCGCCCACTGAGACCGCAGGTGGGGCTCCCTGCGGGCCCGCGGGGCAGTGCGGATTCAAAACGGAGACCCCACTTCGGCCACGCACAGAGGGGGGGCAGGAGGAGGGCGGAAGGCTTCTTAGAGAAGCACCCCCTGCTCCTTAGAAGGCGCGGGCCGTCTCTGTACATGTGGGGCTCGCGCCTTCTAAGAAGCAGCCCCCTTCTAAGAAGGCTTCCCCCCTCCCCCTGCCCCCCTGTGCTCGCCGCCAGACAGGATGGTTGTGGAACTCAGGACGGACGACTCCCGGGCCCTGGGCCCCGGGGCCGTCACCCAGGACGTCGCAGGAGGAAGAAACGGTCTCAGGGAGTGGAGGTCCAGACCTCCGGGCTTCCATGTCGTGCAGACACGATCGCGGCGTGGGAGGTCTGTGGGGGGGAGGCGTGGGAGCGGGTTGGCGGGGACCCCGATCTGGCTCGCCGCTGGGAGTGGCCCGACAGGTGGTGCACGCTCCTCGCGCAGGCCGTGCGTGCGGGCGCGCTCTTTGCGTGCCCGCTCTGGATGGTTTCACGGCAGCTGTTCTGTTGCGAGGCCCGGCCTCGCGACGTCGTGATCTCTTCCATGTTGCGTGCGTCTTCCCCATCGACCCGGGCCTCCAGGGGCCCGAAACGGGCCCCAGGGGTCCGTCGAGAATCCAGCCAGGATCGGAACACGGGTCACCAGGAAGGGGCCAGAGAGGAGTGGGGACCGCGCACCGACCGAAAAGATCCAGTCGTCGGAGGGCTGCGGAGGCGCGGTGGAGTCCGTGGCGACTTCTGATGGGGCGCCAGAAGCTTCTCCGGCCGAGCCTGGCTCCATCTGCCCCCGCGGGCGCCTCTCACCGTGGAACGGTGATGCAGCTTTTGCGCCCGACGCGCGGAGCATGCCCCGCGAAATAACTTGTCTGGTTGCAGCGCAGCAGCTGTCTGATGAGCCTGCCGATTGCCGAGCACAGGGATGCGCACCACCACCACTACCACCACCACCACCACCACCACCACCACCACCACCACCACCACCACCACCACCACCACCACCACCACCCTGGGGGCCGCAGGATGAGCGGATCTGTAGGATGCAGGTGTGTGCAGGATGCCCGGCGAGAACGCCCAGAAAGGTGTACAGTGGAGACCCATGCCAAGAAACACCTTGCTTGCCTCAAGGGTGCCCTGGGTTTCTTGGATTTCGATGGTTTTGCTATGGAGAACCTGACGTTCCCGCACCAAATATCCATGGACGTCCTGGGGTCTCAGGGTTGGGTTTCTGGCGAAAGGTTTCTTGTGGTTGGGCCCCTGCTGTACACCACCCCTGACCCCCAGTTTGTCTCCAACCTCCAGGTGGTGGTGGTTGTGCGCTTCCTGTCCCCATGGTACGGGGAAATGGCAAGAATACGCGAGTTGAGTAGCCAGCCGTCTGTGCCCTCCAGGCACCCTCGTTCTGCTCTCGGCCCGCCTCGTATCGTATCGCGCATCCCGCCGAGGTTGGCAGGCACGCAAGCGCGTCGACGTTTGCTTTTTTCGTAGGAGTGCTGCGAATTTTCTATCATCAGCTTGTGCTTGTAACGAATTCTGCTGTTTGCGCTTGGTTCTTGCTTGAGCCGTACCACGGCACGGCACCATGTTTCAGTTGTGGCCTCCTCTGTTCAGAGCTTGGCTTTAGAGCGGCGCGCAGTCGTGGCGAGCCCTTGTTTCATGATGCCCGAGCGCGTTAGGCTTAAGTCAACGTGAAGGCTCTCGTGCGACCTCACCGTTGGAGCGGCAGCTGATGCGCTGCAGAGGCCCCATCCTTTTGCATCGGCGGCATCCCAACATGCTAATACTATGTGTGCGTCGCCTCCTGCGACGCACACACCGAGAAATCTTATATCATATGCGTCGTGGCGGGCGCTTTCTGGCCACACCGCTCGGGAGCCGATACACTGAAAGGATGGGTATACTATATGTTCGGGTCGGACGCGCGCCTCCGAGGGGAACGGATAGTACTAGTTTGTCTGTGTGCTTCCCATTGCAGATCCACGCCTTCTCGCAGATTCCGGATCGGACCGCTTCTGGGGCTCGGGCGACTTTTGAAGAGGGGAGCGGGATGGGGACAGGGGAGATGAGGAGGAGGCGGAAGAGGAGGCGGAGGAGGAGGAGGAGGCGGAGGAGGAGAAGGAGGAGGAGGAGGGAGGAGGATCGAAGAGGAGAAGGAGGAGGCGGAGGAGGAGGAGGAGATTGAGGAGGAGGAGAGGAGAAGGAGAGAAGGAGGAGGAGGAGGGGAGGGCGGGCTGGGAGGGGCAGGCGGGCGGGGGGAGGCGAGCGAGGAGCAGCACCAGGAGCAGCAGGAGCAGGAGGAGGACGGTACGTGCCTCCAAGTGACGACGATGGCATGCCACAAGACTCGCGCCGTGGCGGTGCAGTTGCTCCGCCGCTCTGTTCCAGGAGCAGCTCCGCTGGGAGCAGCTCCGCCGAGCTCCGGTGTTGTTCCTCCTCCTCCTCCTCCTCCTCCTCCTCCTCCTTCTTCTGCTCCTTCTCCTTCTCCTCCTCCTCCTACTCCTCCTCCTCCTCCTGCTCGTTTCAACCCGACTTTCCGCGATTGATGCTGGCGATTGCGTGGGTGGTTCTGTGTGGATAAGTACGTGGGCGTGTGCGCTGGATGCCTTCGGAAAGCGCGCCTGCCAGGCACAGCGGGAGCCTGTAGGGTGGCATGCGAGCTCACGGAGGCGGGGAGGCGTGATGAGGTGGGAGGAGGAGGAGGAGGCATGAGGGGGACGAGGAGGGGGGAGGGAGGAGGAGGAGTAAGCAGGATGAGGAGGATGAGGAGGAGGAGGAGGAGGAGGAGGAGGAGGAGGAGGAGAAGGAGGAGGGGGAGGAGGGGGAGGAGGGGGAGGAGAAGGGGGAGGGGCGAAGGGAGAGCATGAATCGCAGAAGAAGAGGCACGAGGGAGAAGTAACAGGGTGGGGCTTAGAGTCAGGGGAAGGAGGGAGTAGCGGGAGAATGGGCAGAGGGAGAAAGGGGGAGGACAAGTAGGAGGAGGACTGGGTTCGAGACTTTTTCCCAACCATCCTGTGGTGTTGGGTCCTCGTTTTGAAGAGACGGTGCCCCGCGTTCCTCCTCCTTCCTCCCGCTGCCCCCTCCTCCTCCCTCCCCCTTGCCTCTGCCCTCCGCATGTCTCTGTTTCGGCACATCCCTCACGCGTTCCGTGGCCTCATAGGGAGCTCCAGCGAAGGCCCCAGTGGCAGGGTCCGCATGGCGGCCCCGCATTTTGGCGCACCCCTCACACGGTTCGTGGCCCCATAGGGAGCTCCACCGAAGGCCCCAGTGGCAGGGTCCGCATGGCGGCCCCGCATTTGGGCGCACCCCTCACACGGTTCGTGGCCCCATAGGGAGCTCCACCGAAGGCCCCAGGGTCCGCATGGCGGCCCCGCATTTTGGCGCACCCCTCACACGGTTCGTGGCCCCATAGGGAGCTCCACCGAAGGCCCCAGTGGCAGGGTCCGCATGGCGGCCCCGCATTTTGGCGCACCCCTCACACGGTTCGTGGCCCCATAGGGAGCTCCACCGAAGGCCCCAGTGGCAGCCCATGGCGCCCCGCATTTTGGCGCACCCCTCACACGGTTCGTGGCCCCATAGGGGCCCCAGCTCGCATGCCCCCCGCAAGGTTCGTGCCCATAGGGAGCTCCACCGAAGGCCCCAGTGGCAGGGTCCGCATGGCGGCCCCGCATTTTGGCGCACCCCTCACACGGTTCGTGGCCCCCCATAGGGAGCTCCACCGAAGGCCCCAGTGGCAGGGTCCGCATGGCGGCCCCGCTTTTGGCGCACCCCTCACACGGTTCGTGGCCCCATAGGGAGCTCCACCGAAGGCCCCAGTGGCAGGGTCCGCATGGCGGCCCCGCACCATTTTGGCGCACCCCTCACACGGTTCGTGGCCCCATAGGGAGCTCCACCGAAGGCCCCAGTGGCAGGGTCCGCATGGCGGCCCCGCATTTTGGCGCACCCCTCACACGGTTCGTGGCCCCATAGGGAGCTCCACCGAAGATGATGCCCACAATTGCGGTATTAACACTTGCTCATGGTTGGGTCTTTCGCCAGGCTAATTTTGGGGGGGGAGGGGGGGCGCCGCCTGGGGCCGTTTGCGGGCCCAGGGACCGTCAAAAGCGGATCTGGAGTGAAAACTGCGTCAGGTGGACCACGGGAGGGGTCCGGGCACCGATCTTGAACGGAGTTGCCTTCCTCCCCCCCTCCTGACCGAGTTTCTCGGGGCCCAGCCAGCCCAAACCCCCGGGCCGCCTGCAACCCGTGCGGACTTGCGCGTGCCAGCCTGCCGTCTTCTTGTCAGGGTGGCAGGGGCCAGACGGCCAGGGTGCCCGCCTGGAGCCAGGGGCTTCCTCAGCCGCAGCTCGTCTTCTGGAGCAGGGAGGAGGTGAACGGGGGGAGGAGCACTGCAGGCGCCTTCTCGCCTCGAATCGTGGAGTTCCCTCCCAGGAAGCCAGCCTCTCGGAAAGGCTGGCAACTTGGAGATAACCCCATCGCATATCCTCGCGCTTGGTGGCCCCGATGTGTTTGTCCAGTCCAAAAGCCAGCCAGGGCGACGAGGATGTTGCCAGACCCGCCTGTCAGAGGACCAGGGACAGACGCTGCGAGAAGCCGTCGTGTCCCAACATGCCCCCTGCATGTCGTGATCCCATGGGCCTGCATGGTGGAAGCCCTGTGTGTTTCGTAGTGCCCATGACGCCGAGTATCGATCCAGGTTCGATCGAAGGTCTCCTATCCACCGTGGAGGACCTCAAACGGACGCGCCCTCCTTCCAGCATTGCTGCTGGGAGTGCCAGAGGGCGGAAAAGGACGTTAGTGCAGTGGACTTCGTGCCACGCGAGTGCGCGCAGCTTCTTTGGTGGTGGCACCGCCGCGCGGGACTGCACAACCAAGACGCCGACACTAAGGTAACGGAACGGGCTGGACGGAGCCCGTTCATCCTCTTGGTGTGCAGGCGCACCAGGAGACCAGACGCCCTCCGGCAGGACACCTCTGGCTTTTTCGCTGCGCGCGTCCTCGGGTTCTCGACCCTCGATCCTCTCCAACCCTTGGGCCCCGCGCCAGGGGGGCGGCTCCGAGGAGGCCCCCGCGCCGGCGGCGCCCCCCCCCCCCGGGGTCCCCCCGGCCGGCAGGGGAGGCTCGCCGCGAGATGCGCCACGTGCGCATCCAGGAGCCAGGCGGCCGCGAGGGGTCGAGCGCGCCCTGGAGGAGGAGGAGGAGGAGGAGGAGGAGGAGGAGGAGGAGGAGGAGGAGGGAGAGGAGGAGGAGGAGGAGGGAGGAGGAGGAGGAGGAGGAGGAGGAGGAGGAGGAGGACCCTGACCTTACAGGAGGGCTAGAAAATAGCACCCGACCAAAAAACCGAGCCCAAAGCTATTCTACGTCTTGGTTTTAAGGCGTTTCGCTCTGACTTTTAGGCTTTTAGGCCTACAGTGCTAAAAAACAGCTTTCTGGAAGGTCAGGGGAGGAGGAGGAGGAGGAGGAGGAGGAGGAGGAGGTTACCCATCGGTCGTGGAAAGTAGGTGTTCTTGGAGTGCCGGATTCCAGTCTGCTTTGAGCGCACTCCTGCTTCACAGTGATCGGGTGGCTTCACCTTTCCCGTCCTCTCTTTAGGGGGCGGGCGGGCACCCAATCTA